CGAGGGGCCTAAGCGGGCGTTCTGCCAAGCAACGGATATCAAAGCAAGATTAAATACAGTCAACACTGCGACAGGAGTTTAATTTAGAGTAGAAAAGGACTAGTTCCATGTTGATAGCTGTATCCGCGTATCTAGGGAATGATGTTACTTTATACTTCTTCCGAGCACGCTCAGCGTAATAATTGAAATCATTTGCAGCCAAGACTGCCGAGTTTGCACTCCTCTGTAACTGTAGCCAAATATAATCCCTACATCGATATTACACTGAATGAGACGACAACACAGCCTCAGCATCTCTCTTTGGGAAAGTTGAAGCATGCTTGTTTTCTTCCACGCCAAAGCTATTGTTCAATTCCTCCCGTAGCTTAATCTCCTTCGCTACAAAAGTGACCAAGAATCCCAATGCAGCAAATGCAATGCCCACCAACCAAACCGTCCGCATCGCTGCGGTAAATACTCCGACTACCTCTGCGCGAAGATCTGGGTCTTCAATGCTGGAAAGAAAGGCACCTGTGGCATGTTGATATGCACCGCCCCCTGACAGATTACTAGCGATTTCCGCGTTGCTTATGGTGCTTGCGAGACGGCGGCACTCGTTATTGAACACAGCACTCGGGATAGTAACGCCCCAGATGCAACCGAAATAGCGAGAAAAGCTCCAAACGCCGGTAGCTGTGGCGACATAACTCTCATCCAGAGGCGCTTGAACCGCAGGTAGTAGCACACCGCCAAGCGCGCCACTGCCGAGGGCGTTTAGAAGCTGTATGCATACCCACGCGGCATTGCTTGAGTTGGCATCCAAAATGCTGAGCAGGCCAAAGGAAGCAGTGGTAATAGCGAATCCGGCCAAGTGGATAGGTTTGTAGCGGCCAAACTTGGAGAGAAGGACGCCTCCCAGAATCGCAAAGACAAGCCCGCCAGCCACGTTGGGCAACGTATTTACTCCGGATCGTAGAGGTGTTAAACCCTTGACGGCTTGGAAGTATATCGGCATGAAGTAGTATACCCAATACGCAACGATTGCATGGATAAAAGTCAAGATGAGAACGGCTGCCGAAGTGCGATTCGACACAATCTCCCGCGGGAAAGAAGGCTCAGGACACAGTCGCGGGGTCCATTCGAAAGCGATGAAGAGCAACACGCCCACAAAGCCCAGCACAAGGGGCACAACAATGTGGTAGGTGCTCCAGCGGTAGATGGTGCCGCCCCAAGTGAGCGCAATCAGGGCGGAGGCAATTGCAGCCACGAAAATGACATTGCCAGAGATGTCGATGCGCTTGAAGCGTGCCGACCAGCTTAGGTCACGCTCATATTTGACGCGGAGGAACACAAATAGGATCACGAAAGAGACTAGACAAAGGTCAGTTAAGAGAACCTGACTGGATGTAGGTCAAATTTGACGGGAAAGAGGGAAGAGAATTGGTCTTACCAGCGCCAATGGGCACGTTGATATAGAAACACCACCGCCAGGAAGCATGATCGGTGATCAGCCCGCCCAGAAACGGGCCCACGGTGGCTCCCACAACAGCACCCATCCCTACAATGGCCATGTATTGACCGCGCTCCCGAAGCGGGACAATGTCGGTCACGATCGTCTCTATCAAGAGGTTAATGCCTCCACCGCCGAGTCCCTGGATCGTCCGGGCCGCTATCAGCATTCGCATCGAAGAGGCACCGCCGCTGAGGCCGCCTCCAAGCGTGAAAAGGGCAACGGCTCCCAGCAGCAGATTACGACGACCAAAGATATTACTTGCTTGCCCAGCGAGGGGAAGGATGGCTACTTGTGCCAGGAGATAGGCGTTGGGAACCCAAATGTAGGAATCTCCACCGCCCATAGCGTTTGTGATGGTGGGCAGCGCGCTCGTTATGATGGTACCCTCGATTGCAGACATTAGGCCAGTGATGGTCAATGCCAAAATGATGGCCCAGAATCTCCATGTTCGGAAGCTCGCTGGCCGAGGCTCCTTGTCCTGTACTTGACTGGTTGATGAGACGACTTGGGGCTGCTCGTTGGCCAACTCAGGAATAGATGTGAGTAGGAGTCGACCTGGAGCCTGCAGATTGCCCAGCTCGCAGGATTCGTCCATTGTGAGCTTGGCTGATCGAAGTGTATAAGAAAACTGAAGTGCTTAGGTATAGCCAGAGCCAAGATTGGAGGGAGCTGGCTGTTGAATATATACAACACAAATCTCTTACACCACTCGGCGCTAATGCATTTATGGTGAGCGTTTCCAATGCGTCGCGATCATTAGAGCGGGTCAGCAATGCCTCGTTGCAATATTACTCTGTAGTCATACTAAATCGCAGTAATCGAAATCGAAATCTACACCATCCAATGAGAAAACTCAATTATATCGTCGTGTTGTTTGACTGTTAAGGGGAAATGCAATTTAATTCGTCTCCGGGGCATGGGTGGATCCGGTGTGTGACTCAATCCGGTGTGACTTTGAATCCTCAGCAGCAGATTTTCCGCCATATGCAAGGTTTCGGAGCACCCAGCCTCGATTTGTTTCCCAGGTCGCAGAAATGCTACTCGCCATCTTTAATCGTCAATGAGGTTGCACACGACCAGTATGGTCACCCTGCGTCACCTATGCAATATTCATCGTTACTTTTTTGTTCGCAAGTCATCTCAACCTGCAACATTTAGTAGCAATGCTGAATCCTTCTCTTACTCCTCTGTAAATGTTCTCAGCTAAACAACCATAACAAAAGTATCGCGGCTTGCACATTCACTGATCTTGTCTTTCATCTTCTATGCTACTTTACTGCGCGACGTGTTTAGAACGGATGAACCGCCAAGCACTGTTGGACAAACCTTGGCTACTGGCTTCATGGACCCGAATTTTGAAGCCGCTTAGAGGGACAATGAGTCGCCACCGGGGCACACACAGAGCGCTATTCCATGTTCCCAAAAACCGACAGGTAAATTTCTAATACCCAGCAAATGCTGGCAGCCAAGCGACCACCATTGTTGAGAGAGAATATAATATTCCAATTTCCGACAAATTTTCAACTCAAAGCATCGTCTGCCATTCCGCAATACCCACCACCGTTCCATGTCCTATTGTGATCTTTATTCATAGCAGCGGTCACTGCGTTGGCTACCCGGAGATGGAACTTGCAATTGCGCGAGAATTGGTTAACATATAATGCCACTTGTGTTGCACTATCCTATGCCTTGCGCCATAGTAACCTTTCACTGCCGACATCAACCATATTTTCACAATAGTACAGTGGTGAGAGAAATAAAACATTCTGCCTGCAAATGTCAATCTGATGAAGGTTTCAAAGTTGAGGCTTGTCAATCTGGCGTAGCTATTAGCTAGGAGGAGGCGCATCTTAGGTCGACATCTGGAGCCTCGGCCTGAAACAATACATGAACGTATATATAGGAGATTAGCTATTGCAATGAACCAGTCCATTTTCTATTAGTTACCGTTATCACTTGGACGATATTGCAGCAAGGCATAAAACCCTCGATCCAGCAGATTGCTAGGTTGCTCGGATAGATTATGCGCGGAACGACAGTCTCATTTACGAGTGTATCTTGCAGGAAGAGTATGAGTATCTACAAGGATAGACATTTATCGCGACGTTGCTCACGGAATTTGGATGATGCATCCCATCTGACAGCTACCCGATGACGAATTCGAGACCCTGTAGATGGTTTCGGATGGTTATTAGAAGATACATAGCTGATTAACTAATATTGATCAAGTTATCAAGTTTAATTGGAGCCCCGTATGCTTCAGTTAACAAGCGCCGACATAATATTTAGTCCGAGCTCTCTATTACTGTAATAACATTCATTTAGCAGTTGCTTGGATGAAATCACACATAAGCGAACCTTCTGTTTTATAACCCTCAAGATACCTCCTACCAAACTCCATCTGAAAGTTGTCTGTATAGTGTTAGATAAGGGATACGTGAATAACATGAAATAGTGTACACACCATATGTAGTTTCCGGTTTGGTCTGACAAAAGCCACATATAATTTTGCGGATTCCGTCAGCAAGATCCAGGCGAGGAAAGCTTTCATTGACAGCATCGAATACTTCCTCAGAAATCGTGCCGTCTTTGTCTAAACCTGGGCCTCGGAAATCTGCGGAGATTCCAAGAGCACAGATCTTAATCACCTGCTCTTTATACAGCGCTATCGAGGGAGTAGTATGCAGAGCAATCGCATCCCACACAAGCCGAAGCCTATAATCGTCCCAGTGTTCGGCTCTTCCACTTTGCTGTTCTTCCTTGATCCAATGACAAGCAGCTTCCGCACCATCAACTTCGAACCTTTTGTCCTTGGAAATAAGTTTACCTGTTACATCCCAGCCAAGGTCATGAAGAATAGCACTCAGCGCATGTACTTCCAGATCAATTTCCGAGACAGCGTTCTTCTCACGAAGCTTTTTGTAAACGACAACTCCAAGTATCCATGAACGCATTACATGATTAAAACCCATATCGTTCAGGTGTGCGCGAGCATACTTTTGAGCAGCGTGAACAATAGGAGTTTCAACTACCGTGACTCCCGCAATAGTTGTCTCAGGAATGCGAGTACCCATGGTTTAGATAGGATTTTATTGTAGGAGAGAGCGACAGTTAAATTTTGCGAGGAGGATCGACTTGAAATGAGCTAGGAGCGAATGTCGAGGCATAGCTATGACATACGTTGCTGGTTTTATAGCCTGTCGAGCGGCAATGAAAGATGCATGCAACTTGTTACAGTGCTGAGAGATAAATATTTTACGAATCAAAACGTAATATTATCGTATTATTAATGGCCAATCTTTGGATACAAGCAGTTTATACAATCAGAATATAAGCCTAATTTGTGTTACGAATAATCTTTTGCTATTTTTATTACTTGTCCCACCTGAGCAATGCCATGTTAGTTGAGCATTAATTACCCATGAGGCTTAGTCTCCGCAGCCACTCGGACGTAATTATGTCATTACGCCCAACAAGACATAGAATATTTACAGACTATTATACTTTGTTAGACCAATTTCCAGTGAGCAATTGTATCTTGTACGGCCTCCTCAGTTGTTTTAAACCCGTCTTGATCACCCCATTTCTTCAACAAGCAGATACATTCGGTTGTGTCTGTCGTCAATTCAATGTTTGTTTCGTTTGGGATATCAGAGGCTATGCTTGTGTTGTTGGGATAGAGCTTCCGTAAAGTTCTCAGCAAGTCATTCCAGTTGGCTGGCTCTGCCCAAGCCTGCAAACGACATCCGTTGACCTCTGGATCTAACAAGGCTGCGATATGTAACAAGGCCACATCGTGTACATGAACGGTGTAGACTGGCCAGTAGCAAATAGACAATTAATAACCTTCCATAACCTAGACATAGAATAAAGGCCATCGAACTCACAGTTAGGGACTATATTTGTAGATGATAAGTCTCCTTGTAGTAGCTCCTTGATCCACAAAGATGTAGCGCCAGGCTGATTGGGGTTCAACACTGGTCCAATCGTAGCGAATGGGCTTACAACATTGATAGCAAATGGCGGCTTCTCTTCTTCAAGGAAATTCCATACAGCCTTCTCTGCCTTGGCCTTGGCTGCGCTATAGACAGCCGATCCCCGAGAAGCTTCATAAGGTGGCGGCGCATTGGAAATCTCGATCGCCCAGTTGTTCCACGTATCTCGTCCAACATGCGTATGATTGCCGGGCCTTTGTGTCGCAGCGGCGGCAACTGAGCTAGTGTAAACAAACCGCTTCACGGAAGGCTCAGAAACAGCAGCTTCCAATATAGACGTTGCAGCTCCAACCGTCACCGGAATTACTTTCGATGGGTCCGAGTCGAAGTTATTTGGGGTGGCTATATGTGCAATAGCGGAGACTCCCTTTACGGCGTCTTTGAAGGCGTTTGGATCGCCGAAATCCGACACCAGAGTAAGTTTAAAGTTCCCGGTTACGGCAGCACTTTTAAATAGATCATCAATCAGCCAGGAGGCGCAAGTAAGATCACGGACGGTGCCTCTAACTTTGTAACCACGCCGCAAGAGCTGTGAGGTTACGTGAGAGGCAATGTGGCCAGTCACGCCGGTGACAAGAATCCAGGAGCCTGGTGGGAAAGCTGGAGTTGGCCCAGACGTCATGCTTAAAGTTGGAGCGATATGAAGAGATATAACTCGTGTGTAAGTTCTTTGTTGGTGCTGGGGATTTGTTCTTGAAAGTAGCATTACCTCTACTTAAATAGCTGTAGATATTTTCATATAACACATTTACTATTGTCTCTAACATTCCTTTTTGTACATCCATTCTTAAATAGGTAAATGCCTATTCTAGAGTTCTCCACTTCGTTATGTCGTAATTTAAAGGAAAAGTTTCTCTCTTTCAAGGACGGTCCAGGAAATTCTCTAGCTAGATTGAGACTTTGACTCAGTTTTAGCACACCTCAGTTAGCAGTTAAATCCTTGCAGCATGGAAATATATTGACAAGTTTCCAAAGGAAGCCATTCAAGCCTAAAGCTTGGCTTCCTCCCCTTACATGCACTATTTGCAATGCTGCGTTGTAGTGAAGCTGTGCAGTAGTTCTTTCGCCAGCAGCGTACTGTGTCTATTATGAGCGGAGCCTGAACACATCTATCATGACCGCGACTCACATCATTAGAGGCCAGAAGTAGAGCCTGTATCACGGTAGCATCCTCTATAAAGTCGGTCCCGCATGGTATTGCATTGTTCAGGTGACCCAGACAAGCTACCTTGTACTGAATGGCCAGCTGTTCGTATACTGAATTCTGGGACTGAATAAAGAGACTGTGGCATGTTGCAAGTAAAGCGCCACTCAACAATCCAATATTGGTCAGAACAAGAGGTAAGAATTCCCGTTTCATGCCATCTCGGTACGTGGGATTGTCCGTAAAGTGCTCACAGTGGCTTTTGCCGTATGGAACCACTACCTGGACAACTTAGTGCATGTTAGCATCGACAATCTGTCTTAGTCTACTTCAAAACGTTTCATACAAAGACTGCTGGTGAGATTCTTACAGTAATCAAACAGACCGGCCTCAAAGGTGTTGATTGGGGTTACAAATGTGCTTGCAGAAAACGGATCTCTCCGAGCGGATGATAGTATATTGTGAGGATTGGGCTGACTGGCATTTTCTTGAACTTGTCGAAGCCCTTGGACAGTTTGAACTCCATTAGCCTGCCTCTGTAACTTTTGCTGTTGATACTGAAGTACTCGTCGCCGTCTCGATCTACTATGAGTAACTTTGGCAGCATATGACCTGCCTTGGGTGTCTAACCCTGTTGCGCCGCCTAAATCCGGGCGTTTAATAATAACGAAATGCATTTGGAGTTTTCAGTTGACGTTGCAGTTGGCTGATCTAGGAGGATTAATATTGTACACAAGACTTATATTTTCCCACAGCTACAACTACGGATTTAGGACTATCATATCTATACCCTAACTTGAGTGTTTCGCCAAGAGTGGCGTTTTCCAAGCGTAGATTAGTGTGCTGCCATAAGCGGATCCTTGATGCAGTGTCGCTACAAGATTAGTAATTTGTTTACTTAGCCAGACGGTCAGTTTAATATGCTTCCTCTTCCCAATACCTTTGCGGAGATGGTTGGATTGGACGTGGTCTGATAGTAAAGTTTTCCAAAGATCTAGCTAAATCAGAAGTGCAATTCACAGCAAAAAGCACTTTTGGAGCACCTTTCAAATGTCATTACCTTACAGTGAGGGCTCTTCCTATTCAGCTTGCTTTTACAGATATTTAGTGACTGAAACATATTTGTAACTTGAGTTGCTCAAGGCCAAGTTACTAACTTGCCATCGTTGCCATCGAATCTGTAACTGTAGTGGCCGATTGTTTCCGTGCAAGAGACCCAAGTTGGATTCAAGCAAGCAGTATAATTTCGATAACATCTATCCGCGTACAAATTGACTCGAGCAGAGCACCATTGCAACGGGAACAAAAGCTGGCAGTATGACAGCACCTCTCTCACGTTTATATACTGGGTAGGTAAACCTCTGTAACAATGTATTTAGATAGTACCCCAGACTTAATCTTCAAGGTTTTACTAACATCTCTGTAATAATTGCAAATTTGGTAGTTTCATCTGCTTGATATCTTCTTGAAACCTATGAACATACATAGTCATTTAAGCGGCCGAGTAGCCTTTAGTACTTTGTACAAAGTCAAAGTCCGTTCCATCATGCCTCGCTTGCTGACAAGACCCACTGGACATGGTTCCTATTTCTGTTCTTCTTATTGGCTGTGACATCCCGGAAACCAGCACTAGTTGTAATCTCCACTAGCATCATTTCTCGGATTTCTCCTGGTCCGCATCAGCAGTATTATTGGGGAAACATTTCCGCACACTTTCTTCATCATTGACTTGATTTCTCCGCATGTTAGTACTTGATGATATCCGTGCTTTACTTACAGCTATCAATGACACTTTGCTCACGAAGCTGTTGGTTGTAATAGCAAACATCAGTCCGCTTATTTGTCTTACCAGTCTTAGGGTCAGCTCCATCTCCATGGATTCGAGACTGCCAGCCCCTCAACCATATCGCGTTCTGTTGCCACGAGGCACCCAATTATCTTCTGCAAAGGTCTCCTTGGAAAACATGGATCAGTTTAGGAGACCAGAAAGGACTTCGCCAGACTGGGTCACCATCTATCCTCAAGTCTGGAGTATGTATCAGATACAGGGTTTTAAACTACGCGAAATCATGACACATATGGAGTATACATATGGATTTAAGGCTACGTATGTAAGAACATGTTTATTTGGGATCATCATACTAATTCTATTTGAAGGAGGCAAATGTACAAAAAGCAATTTAAAAAATGGGGGCTTACAAAGAGAGCCCAGCGCGAAGCGACCACCCCGGGGACTCGGCATCTGACAGAGCGGATGCGAAGTCAATACTTGCTCTCACGGCAGGACATCAATGGCATTGGAATTGCGCAGCAAACTCAGCGGCGAGATATCTCGCTTCCGATAATTTCCTTAGAACCAGATGTCCACACCTCGGAACGAGCACTTCAGCAAGTGTTAACAATCATCTCTAACTGGGTCAATGGTGTCATTGAAATGGGCGAAGTAAAAACTAGGATATGCTCTTCAAGCATAGAGATGTACCAGACGTTTACTCTTGCAATGGAACTGTTTTCTCTAAACTATGGCTCTCTTGCTGGTTTAGCGATTCGCAAGGTATTTATCCAACTGGAGGATGCGATCCAAGATTTCAACATTAATCTAGCATGGAATCTCGTTGATATGATGTACGAGATGACAATGACCGGACAAAATCAGCTCCTAGGTATTTTTATTAGGCATTTATATTCTGTGGCTCAACAAAAGCTTCAAGCAGAACATCCGCTTAAAACGTTTGCGTCTCTGATGTTCAGACAAACCGCATGTCAACTCAACATCATCCGAGTATACAATTCCAAGGTATTAGATCAGTTAGCAAGACATGTTAGCCCTCAGTTTTATAGACAGGAGCTTCATGATTCATGCATAGTGCGTTTACAGCGCCAGGCGTGTCTCGTTCCAGATGTATTCGTCACAGGACTTTGGACTTTAAAACGGAGCCACATAAACATTGAAGAGTATGCGCAACATTGGGACACAATTTTATCAACGCGCCCGCAACCTTCAGAGGCTTTGAGAATTGATGTTACGGAAATCAGATCTCTAGCCGCCAAACTACTTCTGCAAGAGATATTATGGCATGAGAACGAAGCATATCGCGATAAAATTTTCCTAGACGCGAAAAGACGGCTTGCTTGGATTGAGATGAGTGATGGAGGTGTCCTCTCTAGCCAAACTGATGAAAACAAAGACAAAACAGTTGCATACGGCAAATTCCAAACAGAGGAGGCGAGTTCGGCTTTAAATATACTACATGAATTGTTGGCTATTGAGAGGCATTTCCGGTTGGCTCGTTTGGAGAATGAAGCATATCGGCTAAGGGAAGACTTGATGATGAAAGTAGGAGACTTTCTTGACGATATATTACACGACAAAACTTAATTGAAGTATAGAAATATATGACAAGGATACCTTGCAAAAGTTCTAAGATAAGGCTCTTAGTAGCAACCTTGCGGAGAATATGTCAAGTTGCGTAAGCGGCGGTGCGGAGAATCTGGCGGAGGAAACTGGGGTAGCTTTATAATAGCTTTACTCATAGTTACATACTGTAATTCTAATAAAAGGAATAATAGTAGTTACCTAGGTATTTGTCAATTTGGCTGACGGGTCAACTGGACTTTCTGTCTAGGTATATATACTTGAGACTTGAAATAAATCTCTCCAAACTTTTCATTTCTAATTCAAATTCTCTACTTACTATTCAATCTGTATACACCAAAAGCGCTCCTCCGCGAATAATATTCTGCCCTCTTCCCATAGAAAATGGTTACCACTGCCCAATCTCAAGCAACCACTGTACCACGCCAGATTGCCATCATAGGTGCTGGTGTAGTCGGCACAGCCGTGGCAACACAACTTGTTCATGCCGGTTATTCGGTCAGCATCAGCAATTCGAGAGGCCCCAGCAGTCTCTATGAAGTAGAGAGATTAACAGGTGCTAAAGCACTGGACCTCGAGCGAGCAGTATCCGAAGCGGATGTTGTTGTCCTGGCGGTGCCCATGAGTGGTATTCTCCCCTTGCAGCCGATTTTACATTCATGTATGCGCCCTGGCATGGTCTTGGTTGATGCCTGCAATTATTATCCTTCGCGTGATGGGATCATTCAACAGGTGGATGAGGGTATGGCGGAGAGTGTCTGGATATCAGAAACTGTTTCGTTCCCTGTTGTGAAAGCCTTGAATAATATCATCGCGCTCAACATTGCTTCTAGTGCGAGACCAAAAGGTTCGCCTAAGAGAGTGGCGCTCCCTGTCGCAGGAGATGACGACAAAGCTGTGGCAGTTGTGATGGAATTGTTGGAAGCAATAGGGTTTGACGCATTTAACGCGGGTCCCTTGGAAGATTCATGGCGACAACAGGCTGGACAACCGGCATACTGCACCGAACCAACCTTGAAAGAACTCGTGACTTTGCTCAGCTCAGCACACCGAGAAAAGGCGAAGGAAAATAGAGATAAGGTAATGGCAATTGCAAAGAAACTACCACCAGATTTTTCGCCGCAGAGTATGGTGCAAGTAGCCCGGCTGGGCGCTGGTCTAGATTTGTGGAAGCCTCGAAGTTGGCTCGCAGCGATACAGCTTGCGTACGCTCTTGCACGGGCGAGTTTCAAACGCACTGCTTAATATGAGCCACATGCGAGAAAAGGTCTCGGGATATGTAATTAATACATGGCAGATAAATTCATATATTCTTCAAGAACCACGTATTTTCGGCTATCTCATGTACAAACAAACGGTGAGGTAGTACCTCTGAGCTTTCCATGGCACCTATCGTCTGTTGCGGCGTTTTGCTTTATAGCAAGCGCAGAAAATTATGTGGCTAGCACTCTGTAGAACACAGTGGTTGTGGCTGTGGAGCGGCGGCCGGACATCGGATTCCGTTGTAGTCAATAATGTGCACCATAAGCGGGAAATAACGCCCGAGCTACAATGATATCCTACCTATGTTGCCTGTAACTTCGCGCACAGCCATTGTGTTGCTACGAGCACCCGTGAAACTTGCTAGAGATGCAGCCGGGCCAGACAGACCGGCGTGATCAGCGCGGAACTTTTGCTCGGAGAGCTTGTCAAGAATGCAGCAGAAAGAAATCCAAGGTAAAGATTCGTGTCCCGAGCACATTTGAGCGGCCTATTGACTAGTGTTGCACACCTCAAGTGTGATAGATTGCTTTCTTGTTGTTCTACGTGCCAGAAATACCGTAGGGTATGTAGTTACGAAAGGCCAGGCAGGACGCCATTAACGCGGAGGTATGTTATGTCGGTCTTTTCACCTAGGATAGAGTATTTTACTAATTAGATCATAGGCATCTAACACAAGTCGAGGAAGAACTCGCCAGGGCAAATGCCTTGCTAAGAGAACTTCAGCCACAGCAAGAGTGCAAAGAAATGAATGAATCTTCCACGTCACTCTCCAAAGACAATACAGTCGACAGAGAGACCGTAACTCCATCTACACCCCCCTCTCAGTCAATTGAGCTTATGGAAACCAACGAAACTGAGGCAGTCATCTCTCAGCGAAGACTACTTCTTCAAGAAGACTTCGTCTTACTGCACTCTAGAGACGTAGAGTTACCAGAGACAAGATACGGCACAATTACTGCTCATTCAGCAAGCCTCAACCATCACAGTCCCCACACACATTGCACAGGACGAGTATCGCAAGCTAATCGAAATATCATGACTTCATTGGAAAAGCCCCCGGCATCAGGAAGCTTTGAATGGGATGAAAGAAGTGGCCAGCCCGGCGGACAAAGGTTTGTTGATGGGATGGGAAGTTTGACTAGCGACACAGATGGCAGTGGTTATCTTGGTATAGCCCCCCTCTCCTACACCCGCTTTATTCCAAATTTTATCCAGACAAACACTGACATATTCTAGGCGTTGCTTCGGGTGCTGCGCTCTTGCGCATTACCGTAGGCCACAATGGCCATCGTTCTGGGACATCAAGCCCAAGGATATCCACAATACCGTTCGCCATGACGTCTCTATCTGCTTTGGACGGTTATATCGACGATTACTTTGCACTCTACCATCGCTCATACCCCATCATACATGAAGCTACATTTCGAGCTCAGTTCATGGAAATTATACCGCGGCCTAGCGGAAATGCTTGGCAAGTCTTACTGTATGTTGTGGCTGCTCTAGGGGCATGGTCAACTGCTACACAGCGGGCGGATGTTCACACTGGACTGTTTGAAGCAGCAAAAGCAAGATTCTCATTTGACCTATTGGAAACTGGTAACCTGGTTCTGGTTCAGGCCTTGACACTAATGTCGAATTATGCACAAATGGGGAACAAGCCAAACTCGAGTTACAACTACTACGGGTTGGCACGACGTAACGCTATGGGAATTGGCCTTCATAAGGAAACCTCTGCCTGGTCGCTGAAACCATTGATCATAGAAATGCGACGCAGAGTTTGGTGGTGTCTGTATGCATTTGATGTGGGAAGTATTATCACATTTTCCAGGCCATTCGATTTTCCACAAAGTGGAGTCGATGTCGAGCTACCAACAAATGTTCACGATGCCGTTAGTATCGCTAGATATCTGAGAAAAGGCGCGCAACTAACTTGTCATATAGGATCTCACAACGGCTACAACACAAAGTCCCCCCCCAGCAGATGCGACTACGCTATACTCCCATTTGAGAGCTCAGTGCTCTTTTCATATGGCTACTTACAATATCTACGAACGAATGATATCAAGTTCTTTTCCAACAGCAAAGGAAATGGTTGCGCTGGATGATATATCAATCGAACCGTGGCTGAATTCACTGCCCCATTACTTTCAGCCGTCCGCTATTCAGCCGCCCAAATATGCTTTCAGCCATGCCACGCTTCAATGGCGGTACCGCAACTTGCGCATATTGGCGTACCGTCCATTTCTCCTCAGACGGGCCATGTCCGGTTCGGAGTGGGGACAAGACCAAGACAGCTCAGAGGACCTAGGCAATATTGACATTGCATTCCAACGCTGTCTAGATGCATCAAGCGAGTCGATCGAACTCATTTCAAGATTCTGGTTTGGCAACTCCCAGACCATGATGGTTTCCTGGTATAGGTTATACTTTTTGTTTCAAGCAGTCCTTATTCCCATTGTTTGTTTGCGCAATAATCCACATTCAGACCTTGCTGGAGCATGGCGTGACCAGGTTCATGAATCCACCAAAATTTTAGAATCCATGATGCGGCTGAATCTTACAGCGGGTCGCTGTCTTCGAGTCGTAACATCTCTGACCCAGCCATATATCTCAAATGAAGATGAAATAAACGGGCCGACGCAAGAGTCATGGCAAGATCAATTGACAAGTCTATATCCGATGATGTGGCCAGAACTTGGATCGGACTTTGCACAATCTGATCATATAAACGAATTGTAAGTCACTTAGCATAGCTTCAAGAGTCTGGATCTATCCGTGACAAAATCGTTTCCTAACTTGTACGAACATTAGGCAAGAATCAACTATCTCGGATTTTATGAATCGAATGTCCGCGTATGATTAGGACCTTGACAGGTGTTGTTCAAAAGCTAGCTGCTTGACTCAAGTTGTCGTTCTCACCGTACCGGCATGTACAAGACATTGGACTATGTTCAGATCAGCGTCAGAATCTTCCTAGTCTCTAATAAAAGCTCCGCATTTGCCATCTGCCTATCTGGCCATTGGCCTTGTACAATCGCATATACATAGCGTGTATCTATTAAGTGAAACTCTCGTAGCCTCACATTTTCATGTCAAATATTACGCAGAGTGAAAGTCTTCTTGTCCAATCTCGCTATATAAGAATTTACCGACAACAATATCCTCCATCTACCACAATATCTGCTCCGGTGGTAAAAGTGCTAGCGTCGCTCGCAAGGTAAAGAAATATTCCTTTCAGCTCTTTCGTATCCCCCTCGCGTCTCATTGGCGTGAGGTTTAACCATTCCTCTTTCCACTCACTGGGGACCCCGGCAGATATCGGAGTCTTGATATAGCCCGGTGAAATTGCATTAACACGTGCAAAGTCTGCCCATTCCACTGCAAGACATTTGGCAAGATGGATCACAGCAGCTTTAGACGTATTATAGCAGGCCTACATACGCTGGTTAGAGTTTCTGAAGCAAGAAATACTGGAGCATATAATAGCTGGACCTACCTGACGCTGTGGAACGTTTGCTATATGCCCAGACATGGATGCTGTAAAGATGAGGCTTCCAGATCCTTGCTTTCGGAAAATCTCTCCTGCCAATTTCGCACAGTAGTAAGCTCCGTCTAAATTGACTGCAAGGACCTTTTCCCAGTTCTCGATGGGGTCATCTATGCCACCTAAAGAGCTTGTTTAAAAAAGTATATAGATGTGTGAGAACTGTACGTACCTGCCGGCCGAGAAATGCCTGCATTTGCAATCATTACGTCAAGTCGACCAAAGTCATTCACCACAGCAGCAGTTTGCTTTTGAACCTCTTCGAAATTCTCGACAGAGCACTTGTAAGCCTTGGCTTTAACACCAAAATCTGCCTCAATCGTGGCCGCAAGATCGTCAGTATTTGTAGCGCTGCTGTACCAAAGAGCAACCTGGACACACAGTCAGATCCAACAAAACATAATGCAAATGCCAAAATCGCTGTGTAAACCAACACTGGCGCCAGCTTCTGCAAGCGCTCGAGCTGCTTCGTATCCAATCCCCCCCGAGCCACCAGTGACAATGACAACCTTACCAGTCATGTCAAACATTTTCATAACACTATCCGACAGCGTTGGATATGATGCCTCTCCCTGGAAGTTGGATTTGGATAAACTCATGTTGATAAAGTGAAAATGCTTTTGGGTGACACAATGTAGTTTGCTTCGAAGTGCTTCCTTCGCTTTCGCAGCTGATAGAGAATTGGTCGGAAGGAGAAACTCGTATGCGATGACCAGAATTGACTTAAAATATATTTGAACAATATAAAAGGGGCTTTTTGTAAGGTTTTCATTCAAAATTCGGCAGACGGCCCCCGAACGCCTGTTTCTTGGGTTAAAATCGTGACGGACATGATCAATAAAAGAGAACTTGTGCCATCGGACTACTTCTCCCGAGAACTCGGAGTTTAGTAACCCGTAATCTGCTAGTCAGCCGGACCACAAAGCCCCGCGTGAGGAGTTCCAGACATGGCTGACCGATCAATATTGACTGCAGTCACCCACCTCAGTATATTCAATATAACTTGTTAGTAAAAATGCTGAAATGCAACAAAGCCCAACTTTCATAAAGTCCTGTAAACACCAAACTCTATTGTGCTAGCCAAAGATTGAGTTAACCACCCGTCCTTACTACGAACAAGCTGTCCGACGCTTTAAAATGGCACACGCTACTGTGAGACTTACAACAACCTAACGTTTGTCGATCTTTCCATCTAACTCATAGGTCATTACAGGAAGAGAACCCAGCCTTTGTGCTAAGAGCTATTGGAGACGCAGGTTTCGAGCAGCGGCCAATTCCTAAACTAAGAGATGCCTGGGATGTCCGAGTTCACATTGCTCAAACCGGGATATGCGGCTCAGATCTGCACTACTATGATAAAGGAAGAATCGGAGGTGAGATATCTACAGAAGATTAGAATAAACATCGTGGATCTGGAATCTATAAACTGTGCTAATGTTTGAGCTAGATTTTGTCCTGACTACGCCCATAATTCTGGGTCATGAAAGCTCAGGCACTGTTGTGGAAGTGGGTTCTGCCGTGAAAAATCTCAAAGTCGGGACCCGTGTCGCGATTGAACCCGGTGTACCATGCCGACAGTGAGTTTATTTGTATTCAACAGCCGCAGAATTTCCATACTGATCCACATATATAGCTGTGACTACTGCCGCTCTGGATCCTACAATTTGTGCCCCGACACTGTTTTTGCTGCTACCCCACCATGGGATGGTACGCTCGCCAAGTACTACATAGTCGCGGCTGACTATTGCGTTCCTCTTCCAGATCATATGGATATGGAGCAAGGAGCTCTAGTGGAACCGGTAGCTTGTGCTGTACAAATGACTAAAGTAGGCAATGTGCGAGCCAACCAAACCATTGTCGTCTTCGGCTGTGGCCCCATTGGCGTCCTCTGTCAAAAAGTGTCCAAGGTTTACGGCGCAAAGAAGGTGATTGGGGTAGATATCAGTCAGGGGAGACTGGATTTCGCAAAAAGCTATAGCGCCGATGGAGTTTTCTTGCCGCGCAAGAAGCCAGCTACTGTGAAGACTGACAATGAGTGGAATGAAGAGCTGGCCAGAATGATCAAGGAGCAGTTCGATCTTGGTGATGGCCCGGATGTTGTGATCGAGGCTACGGGTGCTGCAAGCTGCATCTCAACTGGAGTTCATTTGACCAAGAAAGGGGGCACCTATGTTCAAGCAGGCATGGGCCAGGAGGTAGGGCTCTTAGCTCATGCGCAATATTTCCTCAAGGTAAACCTCTACTAACGTAATCTTAGGTTGTGGAGTTCCCAATCACTGTTGCATGCATTCGCGACCTCACAATTCGTGGCTCCATTCGCTATACGACAGGCTGCTATCCAACTGCCGTTGATCTGGTCGCTAGCGGAAAGATTGACGTGAGACCATTGGTCACAAACCGATTCAAGTTCGAAGACACGAAGGATGCCTTTCAGTTGGTGCGAGAGAGAAACGAGAATGTCATCAAAGTTTTAATCCAGGGAGTTGTTTAGTTTTCGCGTCTCACTGAAAAGATGCCGCAATGATAGTGTAGATCAGATGTAAATCACATAAGAATCCAATTCTTGTAAGGACTGCGCAGCCCCTCAATGAACTCTCTACAGCTAGCTACCGTACTATAAAAACCTATCATCTTTCTCTCTAAAGCCATAATGCGAGTAGGCCTTTTTTCACTTTAACAGCATAAAGTCATTCTAGCATGAAATAAATAGCGTTTTCGTAGAAGGTGGCCATTATGTACTTGCTTTACTCGCCTAGGTACTTACGCACAAGCTCGCGACAGATACTACTTCTACCAAGTTCACTCACCTTAGATTTGGCAATACGTATGTATAATATACTCGTTTTGAAGTGCGTTAGCCACAAATAAACAACAAAAAGGTGTCAATTGTGCACAAAGAGGTTATCATAAGCGTCTCATTCTGGTAAACCTATACTAGAGTATATCCCCCATCAACAACGAGGTCGGCACCAGTCATGTACGACGAAGCATCAGAAGCCAGAAATAAGAAAATTCCCTTTAGTTCAGTTGCATGAGCCTCCCGACTAGACTTTCAAATTAGTATAATATGAACAATCGCTATTTTTCTTCGGGTATTACTCACCCCATGGGAATTTTGTTCTTCCAGATAATTCTCATTTCTTGGGGAATAAAGTTGGATATCTCGGTTGCGATGTAGCCAGGGGATACAGAATTGACTCTCGCAAATTGAACCCATTCAACAGCGAGAGATTTGCAAAGCTGAATCACGCCAGCTTTTGCTGCATTGTACGCCGCTTGCAATTGTGGGATGTTGACTATATGGCCACTGATGCTTGCAGTGGCAATAAAAGATCCGCAGCTATAGCTTTGATCCAGTGTTTTCCCGTTTGCATCCGTGCCCTCCAGTCCTTGGCGACGGAAGTGTTTTCCAGCAGCTCGCGCACAATAGAAAGTTCCATCGAGGTCGATATTGACCACGTTGTGATAGTGCGAGACATCTCCTTCGAGAGCAGGGCCTTGGGTCCAAGGAATGCCCGAGTTGGCGACGAAGATATCCAAGCGGCCTCCAAATTCTTTGACAATACCGTCCGTTGCCGTCTGTACCTCTTCATACGATGTTGTATTGACTTTGTAGGCTCTGCCTTGAAGTTCGTTAGGCATAGCTGACCCATGATAATTGTGCAGTTTTAACTCACATTTCACCCCATAGTCGCGCTCCATCTCTGCTGCTCGCTCAACAGCCATATTGTTACTATTGTACCATATAGCAACATTCGCACCAGCTTCTGCAAATGACTGCGCAACAGCAAGTCCGATTCCTGATCCTGCACCAGTCACAATGGCCGTCCTCCCTTGCAGAGAGAATAAGGGCATTACTCTGTCTGCCTCAGGTCCAGGGATGGCCATATGATTAAAATTGCCTTCGGCATTAATTCCACTAGACATGATGAAAACCTCTGAGATGTTAATTGTGAGTGAGTCAACAACAATAACAGCATGAAATTAGCACCTTTATGTTCTTCTTTTTTAGACCCTGGGTTCAGCGGAGCAAGACAGCCGGATTCTTTCACCCGCCTACCCAGCTATGAAATCGGCTCATTGAGATCTAATCAAGTACAAGGAGAAATAGAAACTTACTCGCCGCTTTTTCGAACGGACATTTGACCCCGGCTAGTTTTTTGAGACTCCCGAGGACCTAAGGCAGCAATCATGGCATAATTCGTTCGGGGTCCGGGATCCGTAGTCCGGGTGCATCAGATTCCTAGACTCTTGATCTTCTCACGCAATCGTGCGAGTTTCAATAAATCTTCCGATCTCGGTATTTACCAAATAGTTATCCATAACTCTACATCTAGTACAGCCTATTATGACATTCAGGAAAGTTACCAGGCTAAGGTAAGAGATGTTGCGGTCCACAGAAGGAATAGACTAATCACTAGGTATTCAGATGTCAGCTGCAATTCGGCATTCTGAGTACGTAAGATCAAATGATTAAACCAACACCCGTATATAATATTACTCATTATTGACATTATTTTTTAGCTTTTATATCACTACGGCTTCCCAGCGGTCAGTAATGTCCATGCGAGCCAGAGGCGGAGTTATTACTCCGGCGTCGCGGATTGCGGCCCCGTATGATCCATATTGGCATAGTTCAGGATAAAGAATATTTCATGGTAACGCATTTCTAGATATAACATTAACACATCACTATCACTTTATTCTCTGAGTAGAAAAGCGTTTGGGGACTCAATAGTCCATTCGAACTTACACTGTTTTACCATGGCTTCCCAAATCATGGAGATCATCATTTTTGACGTACAGCCTATCATCACCATCAACCCTGACTCACTACTCACTAACAGCGTGTTGAATGACGCGCTCTCCACACTAAAGCAGCAAAACGGTGTGCGAGCAGTCCATTGGGGCCAGACCATTGAGTCCCAAAACAAAGTGTACCTATTGATCGGTAAGCGCTTCGAGTTACAGCGTCACCAAAATGAACATGTTTCTCAAAATTGGTTGCAATAGACTGGATCGCAACTCAACATTGTGTCAAGTTCAAACAATCTACAGGTTTTGCAGCCTTTCAGATGAACCTTGATCTCATCATCTTAGGCGCTCCTCGAATGCTTTATGCACCCATTGCTCCACAGATGTATCCACAAATATTTAACAATGTCTTGACAGAGATTGCGATATTCTCTTCCTATAACTTGAGCTTCATTGACACATTTGACAGATTTTCATCTGTGATCAATAGGTCTCAGGGGTGTACTGGTGTTGCGAAGGGTATTGCAACAAATGAAGTTCCAGGAGACGTGGGAGAGGGAGGAAGTGAGAAGCTCTATGTTGCGATAATTGGGTGGTTGGATCTGGCAACGCACCGTACAGCAATGGAGTCAGTGACGTTTAAAGAAAACGTCCCGCCAGTGGAGGCTTGTGTTCAAGTCATCACTGTGTATCATATAAAACTGGTCACAGTTTAGGATTCACTATGTTCGCCAGCACTCATTAGTAGTCAAACAGAGTGCCATTATAAAGCCGATAATAAATTGGTTCTTTTCCATATCGTATAACCAAGAGCAGCAATTCGAATAAGCTAGTTGGCCTTATTCGCTGATTTGCAAAATCCGTGACGTATTCACGATACGAGATTATTGGGTGCAGAGGATCTCTCGGTAGTGAAGACCACTCTCTTGCAGATGTCGCGTCCCATAGCCTTGTGTGTCGATCGAATGGCAGGGTTTCAACAAACATTGAATGCGGATGGAAGCCGAACTTTGCCATTTGGTAGACCCCTCGAACCATATATGAGATTATGATACTGCGACGAACGCTTTCTGCAAAAGCCCAAGCTTCCCAAGCGCTTAGTCTTTGAGATATTTTGTTTGGAGCTTGCTCCCACACATGGCGTGTCCACTGGTTGAGAGTGACGATATGTGTCTCTGCAAATCCCCTTTGCCAGGGGTCCTTGTGGAAAATGCAAATAAGCAGATAGAGTAATAAAGCTTGAAGAGAAGCTAGCAGGTCGCTGAATGAGTCTAATGTTGGATATTCTTTGATCAATTCGTCAAGTTTTTGATGTAGAGTCCCGTAGTGAAAGTCTGCGCCATTGTCTATTGATAACGAATATGCTCGACAAATGGCGTATGCATTCTTGATATGCTTTGGCAACCATCGGCTATACAAAGTGGAATGAATGAAAACAGTCTTCGCTTCTCGTGAGAACGTAATTGGGAAAGCTTTCAATTGAGCCGCAAGATAGTTCACAGTTGCAAGATCTTGTCCCCACTCCATAAGAGCTAAAGTAGGTTCACTTGCTGCTGGACTAGCATAAGTCGTTTTCGAATAACACCATTCTCGAATAAGACGCAAAGGAGCGTTTAAATGTGTGAAGTGGAAGAATTCCATATCACGAGATGTTATTTTTTGACGAGATTCCAGAAGTCGACTCTCTTCTGAATCTTCATGGATCTTAGGGCTGCCATTTGCAAGAGACTGTTTATCATCCAAGTGGGAGACCAGCGGCTCATTGACGTACGAGCACTCTATTTCCTTGATGCGGCATCGTTCACACTTCGGTACTCCGGCCTTACAGCGCCGCTTAGCCTTGATGCAGGCATGGCAAGACCTGGAGAGAGAAATGTTCTTCCCTTTTTCCATATGAATCGCGCGTATGGATCCACTCAATTCAACAACTTCCCGCTACTGAGATGATGGAATTATGTGAAAAAAGACAAGGCCGAATCGAAGTTGAAGCAAAGCTGTCTCCTTGCGGAGGCTTTCACGAGCTTGGAATAAGTAAAATGCGCTTACTTGACAGACCCAATCCATGGCCAATTATGTGGCATAGCAGTATTTGTACTCAATCTAATGCGTATGGAGAAAATGGCCGGATAACAAATACAAGCTCGATTCCAAATCATTCCATCTAAATACGACCGAACAATGTCGGAATAACAAGAAGGCCTTGGTGATTGGACAGAGCAGCCGCGTCCTGGCTACTAGCCCGCGACTCGACAAGCAAAATACAGCTTGGAGAAACTTGGTCTGTTGTTCTTAGTTACACGAGGCAAAAAAGTACGAGCGTACGGTTACTGTAAATGGCAAACTGGTCAGCTACTTTGGTTAGTAGCAGTGCAAACGAACGCTAAATCGACCAGGGTACAATTCCCAAAAATGGGTTAGAGCAATGGAGGTTACAAATCTTGCAGGCGCTAACAACAGCTTACATCAGTTAACAAACTGGAATGCTAGGACAAAGTGCTAATCCAAGCAAGGCAGAAGCACCCTGGAAAAGAGAACGAAAGGCGAGAACCATTTGTGAAGAATCACCAAGGCAAGATAGACCATGAATATGAGGCTAAAAACACGCCGTAGATGATTACAGATCATAGATCTCCGTCATTGTATATCATCAAGCTACACGGGTGTTACTCTTCAGCGTATAAATAATGGCCAAGAACCTGCCTGATATCTCTGCTTTAATTCAACAAGATCAAAGATAACGTTACTTAGCTCGCTCCAGCACCATGTCTCTTTCTTTCCACGAAACGCTCCTTGAGCGCAACAAGCGAGTTTACGATATTTCAGTGTCTATTATCGCGACTTCTAACATCTGCTGGACAGGAAATACTCTGAAACTCACAGTCCTGCGCCTACAATCGGCGAGCAGGTGGCTCTCGGCCGTGTCTTTCAGACCACGCTTGTCAGTGAGTAAAGTTCATAGCCGTTTATAATGGCAAAGAACCCAAAGACTGACTTACAAAGTTACTTGCGTCGATTTTCGCCTCAACCCGGATCAATTTTTGCAAACTAGACCCGAGGGCATGTAAAGTCGTCATTTTTCTATCGTGCTATACTCTAACGTGTGTAATATCTCAGATCAAGTCCTTATTTCGCGCAATCCTGCCGGCCGTGTTGCCCCCGCCTTGCAACAAGTGATGCTTTTTGACGTTTTTCTTGGACTCAAGAGTGTTATAGTGATTCACCATACAGGTATAAATCGTCCGTTGATATCAAGGTAAAGAGTATACGCTGACTTGATGCTCCCTGCATAGACTGTGGTGCGAGCCAGTTCAAAGAGGCAGAGGTTCGAGAAGCCCATAAAAGCCGCCTGCCAGATCATTCGGAGATTGATGATATGGTGTTTGGTGCTTTTGACGAGTGAGTAATCCTCTATAGAAGCACGTATTCTTATCTCAATGGACTTTTCTAACTCATAGAACAGTGTTGAGCAAAGCGTCAGAGATGACCTTCATATACTGAAGACTTCTCCATATGTGCCTAAGAGGATTGCTGATCAGTGTTTTGGCTATGTATACGATATCAAGACTGGCCTTTTGACTCCCGTCGATTATGTTGATAACCAGTGATGGAGAATATGAAGCTATATGTAGATGACAACTTATGCGATGATTGCTTATGCCAAGGCACTGGACATACGTACGTATTCCGCTTTAGTTCTTTAGCCGGATAGTGTTCTCATTATAAAGGCTTCGTAGCTTGAATGGCGTTTCAATAATATCATGTCTGATAATGATCGAAATGAGAGAAGTGGCAATAACGTTTGGAGTGATGTATGCACCAACATGCCAACGTTTGCATAAATTTCGGCTTATGTATCTATTATTTGTGAACGTCTCGATCACTATGGCCTCACACGTTCTGTTAATATGCATGAATATAAGTCATCCACTACTGTCTAGGTTTCGACAGAATCAGGGGTAATATATTTGAGACTTTAATGCTTTGGCGTTTATTTAGGTACGCACTCTTCTAAGCCTCAAAATGGCTTTATAAAGTGAGCGCTAAAACTTGTTAACAGGCTTACCAATCCCCCCTCGCCACATGTCGTAGCATCTGCATAGGTTCTGACATTGACCGTTTCCCCACCTCGATGGTGCTTAACTACAGGCGCACTACTACCTACTTACCTCCAATAGCGCAGTTCAAATAGATTCTTGCTCTTCCTACATCCCAGACTTCGCCTTTTTCCAGCTGGTATTATATGAGGACAAATCTTCATCTTTACAATCAATGTCTAACAATCTCGTTTGGATAAATCCATCGACTACTTCGCCTATCGATCGCGCTAAAATAAGGCGCGAAATCATGCAGAAAGTGGCTCAGAAGCGAAAGGCAGAACCTAAACATCGGCATCCCAATAGCAGACAGCTTCCTGTTTTTATACCAAGCGATGAAAGAGCAGCAGAATGCAAACAAATACAGATACTTAATATGGCAGAGCAGGCGTCTCAAACCAAGCCTGACGGCGTCTACATCCAGACAGACACAGCATATTTGCGAGCCCCTGCTTCCACATATTCAGCGGTTCTCTCCAAAACAAATCTACACTTTCTAGATCTGTCTTTATTAACTTCCGTGGGGGTTGGCCGGTATACTGGACAAAGGCTTCTTGAAAACCCTCAAACTATAGCGCATTTCTTCACGGGAAGAAATTGGTCATATTTTCAGTATATACCCTTGCATTACCAGCAAAGCGCCTTGATAAGAAGCGCTACAGATTGTGTCTTAGCTCGCGTTAGGTGCTTGCTTACGCCCGACGACAGAAGCTGGGAGCTATTCGCTCTTTCAGCTTATTCAAGAGCGCTCTTAAAATTACAAGATGCGATGGACTCTACTTCTCAGCGTATTACAGCTGAGCTCCTCTGCGCCACGCAAATGTTAGGCCTCTATGAAGTAAGTGCGTCTCGAGCAGACTATGGAAAATATTGGTTAACTGTTTCTTTTTTTTTTTTCGTGCAGCTTCTAAATCCTAGTCGAGAGGATGCATGGATAAAGCATACCGCGGGAGCTACATTTTTAATACAGTTACGAGGTCCATGGAGCTATCAATCCGAGTTCGAGAAATGTCTTTTCCTGGGTTATGTTGGGCCAATGGTAATTATCAGATCGTTACTATCCCCAACGTCATCTCGAAAACAGAGGCTGAATCTCAGTAGGCAACAGAAGCAATACTAAACAATGAAGCTTGTTTCCTTGATCATCCAGCATGGAAGGCGGTCCTTCTATCAATTATCACGGACGATCCTCTTGTGCCGGAAAGAAGTACTATGGTTATCTCCATAATGCTGATTTTCGTCACCATACCCACTCTGCTTAAAGAGTTTACCGACGTGATTTGCCATAATCCCGACCAGCCACTTCAAGCGATTACACAGTTTATATCTCGAGCCCACAAACTTCGAGCGTCTCTCCAAGACTGGTATCACACTTATATACAACCCAGCAGGACACCAATCAATGATCCAACTTATGGAAATAAGTATTACGACGCGCTTGTTATATATTACATTTGCATGATATACAGTAGCCGTCTGAATACATGTATCCATTCACAAGATAAATCCAGCGTATATGAGCTCGAGGAGGAATGTCAGTGGTTTGCGCAAATAATTGTATCCCTACATCAAAGAGGAGGATCATCTTCTAACCGACAGGGATCATTACTGCTGGCTCAGAAACTACCCATTGCCGAAGCAACTATCGAATCTGGAGACGCTTGGAAAACACAGCTAAGCCTTGGCTTTAGTCACAACCACGTCTTCAAAATGCCCAAGAAAACGTTTCGTCAGTGGTGTAAACTCTTTGGACGAAGAACTTCGTAATAATGGTAGCTAGCTTGGCTAAAGAATAGATTCAAGCTTAGTGTCTTCATGACCAGTAGGCTAATAAGTGATTAATGCAAAGATACATGATGCTCCTCGTGCTGTAGTACTCAACAGAGTGGCAGAAAACACCGCCGGCCTGCCACGATGGGTTTTAGGTAGCGGTTTCGGCCAGGCTAATTCTATAATGCGGAATTGGAGAACAAGGCTTCACTTAAATTAAGCAGGACTATGTTACTATCCAACAGGTATCGTTTTGTGTATTCAGCCTTCCGCTTGCCTTTCATTAATAGTCATGTGATGCGGCACAGCGATGCACTCAAATCGTCTTTTCTCATTATATACATCAACGTCTCTCACCCCTTTAGGATGCTGAATCGTCACTTGTTGGCCCTTCACAAGCCAGTGCTCCTTCTATTCGACAGACAAAACGCAGATTTAGAGCCAGAGTAAGAAGTGTCTGCGATAGCCAATGTCAAATGTTTCGGCTTGTTTGGACAAGGTATTGAACAAGGGTCAACCATCACTTCTTGCTTGCCGTATTTTCCGTGACGCCGTACTTCCCATACGAGGTGGTGCATGCTATCCAAACGCCCTGAGAAGTGCATATAAACGGAATCGGATGTCGTATGCTCGAAGCCAGTCCGACAACCAACCCATGCGCGGTGACAGTTAATGCTGCCGCCGCATCCAGCATGTCATTTATCCCTGGCCGAAGCAACAGACTTCGTCTGCGCCACGAAACAATGCAACATCACCTGCCCGACTCCGATTCACGCCTCGACTGCAACGGGTAGTCGTCGAATATCAGAGGTGCTGACATTGCAGATAGATAATCGCAATTGTGGTTCAAAAACAGCGGCACTGCTGAAATAACTCCCGAGCGAAGTACGAGTCCTATTCGAGTTAAGAGTTTCACTCGGGTTAAGTGTTCAAGCTCATGCTGCAAGCAAGTGAAGGAAATAGGCAGATGAAAGAATTATGTCGCTATCCTAAATAGATAAGAATATCCGTCTTCTCTATGTTGGAATGGCTGTATCATTCGAAATGTACTGCGCTATTCCCGTGTACCTCCATCGCTGAAAATAAGCATTGCCTCCTTCAGGGCAACTATCTTCGTTCCCAGCTCCATTACAGGTAGCAAAAATACCAAGTAGACTTCCCGTGAATGGACCCGTATTTCCGCTCAGCAGCGATCCTGAGGCTGCGCCCACAGTAATTCTCTTTTGTGGTTCTGATGCTGGCATTGCCGACAAGGTGAAATGAGTCGCATTTGGTGCTTGAATCTCGAGGCGCAAAGGACCATGTCCCCAGCGTGCTGGTAGCGGCGTCAAGGAGGAGTCGGCAGTGGAGCCTCCACTGATGGCCCTGAAGCGAAGGAAGAGACTCGAGTTGGCTGTGTTATTTTGTTCAAGGAGGACTAAACCCAGATCGACGTGATTAAATTGTGTGAGAAAAATGGTCACCCCGGCCTCTTGATCTATTTCTTTGGGGGAAAAGGATAAATCAACAGCATAATCGAAAATTGTATGTGTTTGGCGCCTTCCAATGAAAGAGAGACCTCGTCGGCCATTTAGCGCGAGAGCGTCATCAGCGTCTGAAGCAGGGATAACACCTGTCAAGTTGCTTCGGCTTGGTACCACCAGTAAGCCATTGCTTGAGATACTAAAAGATCCTTGACGTGGAACACGCCAATAGACAAGATTGGCCGGAATTGAGCTGTGAAGAGGAAAGTTGTATCGATCAGGGTCGTCGTTGAAAGGTCCCGTCCCAGCTACATCGCGACTGCGTGGTGGTAGGTGCCATCCATTCATGCGCCCCTCTACTTTCTGCAAGATTGGCCACTCATCTTTGTTCCATGTAGCGGGAAAAAGTACAGCCTCACGCCCCATGGGATAGATAGTCCAGTCAGGTCCAGAACGTGTCGATAAGCACATTCCCCACCACTTGCCCTTCTGATCTTGGAAGAGGTCTCCATGACCAACGGTCTGAAAGTATCCGTCTGTGCCTCGCGCTGTAAGGATAGGATTGTTGGCATAACTGTCATATGGGCCGCCGATGTTCCGTGACCGTGCGATTGTAATAGAGTGATTGAGCTCTGTACCGCCTTCTGCAATCATGAGGTAGTACCAGTTGTCTTTCTTGTAAAGGTGTGGCCCTTCGGGATACGTTCCACCAGTGCCATTCCAAACACTCAGAGGCGGTTGGCTCAGATCTCCAGTCTCAAGATCAATCTCCTGAAGCGTGATGCCTGCCATTACGGAGTAAACTTTGCCGTCATCATCCCAGAACAAGTCAGGGTCGATATTCGAAGGCTTGAACCGTACCGGATCACTCCAAGCAGAATTGCTGAAAGGATCTGAGCTCTTGAATATCACACCAATGTTACCCTCTGGTGCATTTAAATATTGGCAAATCACAAAGAACTGGTCGTCGTGGTATCGAATAGTAGCTGCATACATGCCATTCTGCTGATCGGGAGTGCCCCAGCTAGCGCCGGGAAGCTGGCTTTCGCGGTTCCAGGCGTGACTGACCAGCTTCCAGTCAATCAAGTCTTTGGAAGCGTAAATGGGTAGACCAGGGAAAGAGATGAATGTTGAAGTAACACAATAGAACACATCGTCAACAACGGCGCAAGAGGGATCTGAGTGCCAGCCGGGAAGAACAGGATTGAAGTAGGTAGAGTTTTGTGCTTTTGCTTGCGCCAGCAAACCGAAGAGCGCGAAATAGCAGCTCAAGAATAAGTTCTTCTTGGCGAATGACGAGATCATCATTATGGCCGGCCTAAGTAAGACTGAGTACATGGAGTACTATTTTCGAAAACTCTTTAGGTCTTGGGCGTCATTAAAGATTCATTTTAGGGAAATCTCCAAGGTCTTTCTTCAATTGTTGAAGTCCTTAGACAAATCTTGCACAGGATGAAACAACAAGCTAGTGGGAAACCTAACGACTGTTATAGGACTACGTCTGGTCAAAAAGTAGTGTCTGATTTGGCAATCGTAATATAATTATCGCTGGCCATCCGTCGGTAAATCATCTTGACTATTATTACCCTACATCACCCCGCATTCTGCCCACCGCGGTGGCGATCAGATTCGACTTACTACTGGTAGAATAAAAAAGTCTTCATAAAGTTAACTGGCTAGTTATGACATTAGCTTAATTGCTATATTTGTTATTAATAATTACTTCTGGAATACCCCGAACAATTGCCGATCGCCATCCAAGCAGAAGGTGCCGAATAGCGCTTTTATCTCAGCTGTCTGGAATAATTGCGATTTACAACTCCGCTCTTGGCTTCCTAATGCTCATGTAATCATCGTTTGCCGAACATGCAGGTGGTATCTTGCACTTAGACTCGCTAATGACTCCGCTTTAAGCATGAGGTCTTTGGTTGGCATAGAGCGCGCTGTTTAGAATGGAATCGATTGCCGAAAATTTTCTGGAAATGCCGTCGGAGCAACAGAACGCGTCGGCTCTTCGGCCCTTAAAATTCTTTTAGAAGGAGTAGGCGTGCAAAGCGATCGACAATGTAATAAGACTGTCCCAGCCAGTTCTAGAGGCCAAGAGGAATTATTCTAGGAAATTTTATACAGTGAATTGTATTAGAAGCTTCACCCGTCATCTCTTTTCGGAATGCAAGCGGTATAAAAGCATACGCAACTTTTTCTCGTCGGAGCGCATCGGATTTGGGCTGCTAGGTAATTGCATTATACTATTACAAAAAGTCCATTAGAAGACTCTTTGGCACTGGATGGACTATTATTATACAATTTTACCAATTCTGTAGTCCCCCCTCTAGATATCATTGGAATCCTCTTCAATGAAGCGGTTCAAAGCAGGCTGCTGACTATATTATGTGAGGCTGGCCATACGCCAGGAGGTCTCCATATCTTAACATGGGAGCTCACCTTAGACCGCTTCGGAACCTCTAGTTTCGGGGGTTTTCTCCAATGTTCAATCTGATCATCAATAGCGAAGAAGAAACTGCTTGATGGATGGCTCATAGTCTTGACAAGTATGCCTTTTACCTCACCAAAGAAGACATACATGGAGTAGCTCCAATTTTAGCAGCCACATTGTTTATATACAGATTTTTTCCATATGTGTATGTGGGAGTTTAGGCTCATTGTAATATTATAAACAATCGTGTTAAACCCTACTTTCTTATAGCTCGATTGGCTGCCAGTGCCATAGCTGTATTACTGAAGTTACAGAATACATGCTGCGCCCTGCTTCTAATTTGCTAGCAGCGGCTGAACTATACACCACTTTATCAACACTGAGCACTAAACTCCAGTGTGCCTTATGTGATCCCATGTCCAATGTGAGAATCCTCGTGGACAGCGTAATACACATTGCCTATTCCCGTTGCACACTGTCTCTAGCTAAGCATCGACTAATGGGTTCTCCGCAGATAGATGCAACGTTCGGAGCGTTGGTGCTGGAGTCTGGAAATCTCTGCCTAGCCATTGACGTGATAGATGCCGAATGCCAAGATTATCTGGTCAGAGTATCGAGGTCTCGTGAGAGTTAGCGTGCCAATCGGATCATTGATATGGCCTGAGAGGGTGAGAACGGGGACATTCCCCGGTGTCAGAAGGATTTCAACTTGGACCTTCAATTTTCCTATTGGAAAGTACACTTGGTAGATTCACCCTTGTACGAAGTTTACGAAAGAGAACAAGAAGTGGAACATGTCGCCGATTTAGGCAAATTACAGCTTCAGTCGATGTATTTACCGAGTTACATAGGCCTAGGTAAACATGTGCTTGCTGTTTATTTTGCACGAGCTAATATCTCTACTGTCAAGTAACAACTGTCTTTCAGATGTTATTACGAATGAATCATGCTGGTGTATCCACCTAGTGCGCGAATTAGATGTTGCATTGAATTGCTGCTTGAGAATCTTCATTTTTTAGTGACGTCTGTTGGCAGATAATTGTCAAGTACAATTACGGCGAATTCTTCGTCCGGCATTTTTTATGCGTATTTAATACCTGCTCCGGGCTTTAAGTCGAAATGTTGATAATCTAGTCGACAAATCAGAGTTTAGTCGTTGTCAAAGCAAACATCAAATTACACTATAACACTATGGGATCAAATGAGTTTATAACATGAGACTGGCACTTGAATAATGGGAAACTATAGCTATCTACGAAGTCGTCCAGTATCAGCAATCGGTTGTTTCATATCTACCCAAGAAACTAGGACCTAAGTACTCTCAGGAATTGTTTGTACATATGTGTTCTTCGACCTCTGTGACAGGCTTCTTCTGCCGGCACTATTGGCGGGGTGGCTCCGTTCTCCATCCAGATCTGCCGAGTAGCTCAACGCCTCTTCCGATTCTTAGACCCGGCTTTTCACTACACGCGGCCACTGTTAGCATGACTACTGTATCTTTGCCGCAAAGCCGGTGGTTTCGTCAATAACCTGCTAGTAAATGTATTGGAAAGTGTATAAGCGAACAAAAAATAATCAGCCCATGTATTTTATTACACAGCCTCTGCTCACTAGTCAAATACGTAAGAAAAAGATAGATCACATACTCTTATAATTTGCTTGGCTTAACAGGCGGCTGTATCTACTCAAGTGCCAAACTTTTCTAGCCGCTGCAACCTTCTCCACAAAGAGGATGCTCTATCGCGGAACATGACCTTCCATTCCTTCCATTGCTTTATATCTAGGTTAAATCATTTAGCCGCAATGGTATATTGTCTTTCAATTTTGATTCAGCGGGTAAATAGGCTCCTTGGCAGGTGACAGATGCACCATCATAGGAACTCAGTTGGATAGGCTGCTTGTGGCACCGAAAGCTAGCCATGGTGCATAAATACAGACATAATCATCCGGTATGGAACATCTGTCGAAGCATTATTTCGGGCATACACAGAGATAGGATTTACTCCGTACTACATACAAAGATGGCCCAGAAGCTTTCCAACCTCTTTGCCATCGCACTAACGGTGGCGACTGGCGTTGTTGGACATGGACATGTAAACAACATTGTCGTCAATGGGGTGTACTATCAGGGCTATGATCCAACATCGTTTCCATACATGCCAGATCCGCCCATCGTGGTGGGCTGGACGGCTGCCGATACTGACAACGGTAAGTGGCTTCCAGCCGGATCTGCAAATTCTCCTCGTGTCTTGATGCTTATACTATTCGGCAGGCTTTGTTTCACCAGATGCATATCAAACCCCTGATATCGTCTGCCACAAGAATGGCACCAACGCAAAGGGGCACGCATCTGTCAAGGCCGGAGACTCTGTGCTTTTCCAGTGGGTGCCTGTTCCGTGGCCACACAAAAGCACCGTCGTTGACTATTTGGCCAACTGCAATGGCCCCTGCGAGACCGTGGATAAGACTACACTTGAGTTCTTCAAGATTGATGGCATTGGCCTTCTCAGTGGCGGAAACCCGGGCACTTGGGGCTCGGACGTGCTGATCGGCAACAACAATACCTGGGTTATCCAAATTCCCGAGGATCTCCAGACGGGTAACTACGTGTTGCGCCACGAGCTCATCGCCCTACATAGCGCCGAGCAAGCAGACGGCGCCCAGAACTACCCTCAGTGCTTCAACCTCGCTGTCACAGGCACGGGATCGCTGCAGCCCTCTGGCGTTCTAGCGACCGACCTTTACCATGAGACAGACCCTGGCATCCTCTTCAATATCTACACCAGCCCCCTTACGTATATTATACCTGGTCCTACCGTCGTATCAGGCCTTCCTTCAAGTGTCGCCCAGGCAAGCTCCGCCGCGACGGCCACCAGCAGCGCCACCGTTTCCGGCGGTGGCGGTGGCAGCAGCACCGGAGGATCGACCAGCAAGACTACAACAGTCGTGAGATCGACGACGTCAGTCACCTCAAAAGCCAGCTCGTCAACTGCTGTTACCACGCCGCCCCCCGCCGGCGGAACTCAGACCTTGTACGGCCAGTGCGGCGGCAGCGGCTACTCTGGCCCTACTAAATGCGCCTCGCCAGCCGTTTGCACGACCCTGAATCCCTACTATGCGCAGTGCCTTAACTAGTCATAATGGTAGGTATTACTATGAGGGCTTTTGGAACTTTGACATGCACTTGCTGGCTAGGAAACATGACATTCACTTATTGGATTAACGGACGGACAATCTTTTTACCTTGGTGGATTTGGATGTGGTGATCTCTTGGTATTACTCCGGAAAGTCTATATTTACAGTAATACCACGATCTAACTCTTTTGGTTGCTACGAGAGTCTGTTCTAGCAGGCTTTCCCAGAGAAATTGACCAATCACATATATTGTCGAGATGGTCTAGCGATCCTTGATAGGATTACCGAATGAAGCAAAGAATGCAACCGACTCACTGTACATAGAGTTTTACAATATGGCACTCATTTATATAGCGTTGATAACAGTTAATGAAATTGCAATTAAATTGAAGCTCTACTGTTTTACCTTAATTGCGGGAAAACACTCTCGACTGCCCGGCTCCTCTCATCTATGTATGGATCAATTTTTACCAATAGACGCTCGAGACAAGACTCGTTCTTTAGTGATATTTTGTTTGGTATGGTAGTTATACAATTATGACTTATGATATATTAGCTATGTTAAATTATTAGGCAAAAATATTTTACCTGTTTTACTTTAGCCGCGCACATGCAACAGGTTAAGTTCGGATCTATATAGGCAAAGCGGTTCAATACCAGGCTTGGGTTCAAAGCCATTATCGAGTGGATAGAACGTTGCTTTGATCAAATTGCCATTTAGCAAGACCGGAATAAATCAACAATACTAGGTATAGAATAAGAGCCTTGCCATATATCGAGGTATTGCTTTATGAGACCTCCTTAAATACCTAGGTATGCTAATGTGAAATCCAGATCTAATTCACTTAACAATATTTACATCCATAGCACCTTTGGTCCTTACCAAGGCCTTGTGCGTAAATATGGCTCGCCAGGCTGCTCTACTCGCCCTTGCAACTTTCTCGTCTCTCTCTATCGCGCAAATCTCAGACGGTTTTGAGGATGGGTGGAACCAGAGTACATGGCCCACCTATGCGCCCGATTGCAACCAGGGCGGAACTGTTAGTCTGGACACCACAGTAGCCCATAGCGGCAGCAATTCTATGAAGGTCGTTGGTGGCGCAAATGGCTATTGCGGACATATCTTCTTTGGCACTACCCAAGTGCCAACTGGTGACGTATACGTTAGAGCCTGGGTGTAAGTACTCTCACCTTAGATTTGAACATATGCATACTGAGCGGGCATTTTAGTCAGCTTGAGACTGCTCTCAACAGCGACCACGTCACATTCATTGTTATGCCAGATACCGCACAAAGCGGTAAACACCTCCGCATTGGTGGTCAAAGCGAAATCCTCGATTATAACCGCGAATCTGACGATGCTACTCTTCCGGACCTATCTCCACAGGGCATTGCATCTTCAGTCGATCTGCCTACTGGCTCGTTCCAGTGCTTTGAATACTACCTGGGCACTGACGGGACTATCCAGACCTGGCTGAACAGCAACCTGATCACGGGTATGACTGCGGGGCCAAGTGCTAACAATTCGAATGACGCTGGCTGGACAAGAGAAACATATGTACCGGATATCACTGGTGTTTACTTTGGCTGGGAGGCCTACAGCGGAGACATCAACACAGTCTGGTTCGACGACGTCGCGATTGCGACGAGCCGCGTAGGATGTGGCGGTCCTGCATCATCTGGAACCACCTCGGTTCGACCAACGTCAACTGCGCATAGCACTACCTCCAACCCTGGCACCACCACAAAGCCAAGCACTACCATTCCGCCAACAACTTCAAAGACAACAAGTTCTGCGGGAGCTACACAGACGTAAGTTCTTTTCCGATGTAAGAAGAGAGACAGCAAGCTAATGCCCTTTGTAGTAAATACGGCCAGTGTGGAGGCCAAGGTTGGAGCGGACCGACTGTCTGCGCTTCTGGTTCGACATGCACGTACTCGAATCCGTATTACTCTCAATGCTTATAAGCCAGAAAAGTGAGGAACGAAAAGAAAAGATTTCGCAGGAGTTATGACTTGGCGAGCTAGTAGACAGCAGCTGGTAAATAACAGACTACATACGTTACACTTGCACATCATGACAGAAATCATCATACGAATAGGCTGTGCATTCATGTTTGGGCAACAATTTACTGTGTTGTATGAAGCAGCTTAAGTAAGACGAATGGATTAGCTACATACATTACAGGAATACTTCCTCGTAGCCACTGAAAAGGTTTCATACCACGATTAGAGAGCTGATTCGGGAACAAACAATTGGGCGAGAGGATCGCGAGTTCGCAAAAATATGAAAATAGGGAAAAGTAGTCCGTAATCAAGAAGCCATCGGCTACCATTATAGATCAGTCTTTCCCTCTTAGGGAAACTTTCACTCTTTGGAGTTAGAGCATACACAAGCAATATCTCCTTCTGGATTCAATGTTGCATCAACTAGATATACCAGTACGTCAGACTAACCACAATAAAGAGTGAAGCTCTAGTGCTAGTCAAAAGAGGGCTCCTTAAACTTTGAGTGTGTTGCCGCCTTTTTTGTTCTCAGCCGGTCACTAGTACCTTAGATGCATCGTCTATGGAAACAATAAAACCGTCTCATCTTACGCGGCACTCATCTGGATGCATAAGATGTTACCTCAGTCTCCAAACTTGCTTCAAAGATTCTGATTTCTAACACCACTGTTGCTTTGGGGTTTATCTATAACCCTATACCAAGCAATTCAGTGTATCTAGTGACAACATGGGGCTTGGTATCTCGATCTTACTAGCATGATTTGCTGCACTAGGGTTTGTGGATGCCTTCCCCGATCGATTCGTATTACCATTCTTTGGGGTTACGAGTCAGCTGTACCTGCATATCGACAGCTTTGTTAGTTCAAAGGCCCACAAACGAAGAGGTTTCACACTTCACACTAATCCACTGTAGGCGGAAAAGATTAGGACAACCCACAAACAATTGGAATGTTGTGGGCAGATCGGAGTGAGTCAACAAGGGTGACATGAACCAACTTGAGCCTAGTAGAATGACAAATGAGTGTTTCATGCACATTAATGTTCTACACGTAGCAAGCTTTCTTACGCGAAGAGCCTAGACAAAGAATTATCACGAAAATAGCATAAGTAAGTGGGCAGATGGTTTTTGTGGTTATGTTTTTAGCTAAGTGAACTCGCTTCTTCTCTCTCTCCAATGAGGTTCGATTTGATCGCCTGCGAGTAAGCCTGCTAATTCTCTAGCATACACTTATGATTCGTTGTACTTTCATCCAAGGATAAGGAGATTGTGCTGTAGTGACAGGGGCAATAACAAGTCAAATGGGAGATAATTTAACCAGAATGTCAGCTGATTACCCAACAATAATAGTAAATTATTCCGAATATTAGCTTTTCTTGTACTAATAACGGATTCATGGTATCTTGCGGCCGACTAGGCCTTGGCACACAGCATAAACTTCACGTCGGCAGCCCTCTGTAAAAAAATTGCTGGGAGCCGTAAAGCCTGGATTGATAGGTAAACTACCAAACAACCAAAAGAAATTCCTCGCCCATCGGCAGGTAACCGCTAAATAATGCGTCGCGCTCGTGTATGCCATGGATTACCCTCGCTTAGTAGACACAGCACGAAACTAGTAAGTAGATAGTCGTATGAAAATTTGAGTCACCATGGTCGGACCAAGTTCAAATCAGGGAAAAGAATTCATAAAATGTATCTACTTTTTGTATACAATAAATATTTCTTTATTAAGTAGCTCCAGACGTAGTAGAGCATTGGTAATGAATCTTTGAACTCCAAGTATAGGGACAGCTAGCTCTAGTAGACTTTATCATCGGCATATTCGAAGCTTTTGTTGCCGTGATCGGATGATGGCAGAATGTCTCTCTCTCTCTCTGTGTGTGTGTGTGTTATGTTCGCTGTTGAATCAGCTGTTTTGGACGCTCCGCTGCCCGGTTGCGCTCCGCTTGTGAACCAATTTCCCCAGATTCTGACCCTCATCAAACCCTTGGTCTACCGAGTAGACTAGTAGTTCCTAGCAAGGGACCAATCTCAATTCTTACATAGCGCTCCCTATTCCCCAACTACCCCGCAGTATCCTTTTGCTCAGTAGTGTAATTCGGCAGTATCATTTTATCCCCGGCCTTATTTCGGAGACCCTTTGTAAACTTGCTGTGTATAATCCCTGAACCGGTTCAGCAATCGGACAAACCCAAGTTCAAAACATCCACTAATAAGATCTCTCCTTCTGCATACATCCTAGTGGCTGAAGTATTGGACGCACGTAATTTACTAAACAACTACCTTGCAAGCTGGGGTATACTGGCAAACCAAACTGCTGTCTAACTGGATATGTTGTGACTTGTAGAAAACGGGTAGAGCTTGGAGTAGAGCGCGCGGAAGCTCGCCTATAACCGTTCGCCACGGTCACGTAGTATCTTGTTTGCCCGTCTCAATGTATTATTTTGGCGTGTTTATCGAGACCATCGGTCCGATTACCCTCGATACCATTTAAAAGCAGATGTGCAAATCACGGCTGGACTCCTCGACTCCTGGTCGTAGAAGCTGACAGCTAGGGTAACATCATTTGCACGGCTGTTCGGCATGTAACCATACCTTCGCTGGAATTACTCCATTATTCAGGGGTATATATTCAGCTGGTATCTCAGATATGAGAAGAAGCTTTCGGTAGCATCAGTGCCAAGTGTCTTCCTCTTGGCACAATAAGTTGGTGGCCGAGTCTCAGCCATGTTGCCAAACTCCATCATCGCCGCTGGCACTCTGCTGGCAGGCGTTGCCTCTGGACAAGTGACTTCCCCGCCCAAGTATCCTTCACCGTGGATCAATGCGGACTTTAACTGGGACGACCCTTCTCCCGTTCCGACCAGCGGTCGAAATTGGGCACAGGCTTATGATAAGGCTGTCGAGTTTGTTAGCAAACTCACTCTTCTGGAGAAGGTCAACCTCACTACTGGTGTAGGATGGGAGGGGGGAAGATGCGTGGGAAACTCTGGATCGATCCCTCGACTTGGGTTTCCAGGCTTTTGCAACCAAGACTCGCCCCTTGGTGTTCGTGACAGTAAGATCAGCCCCCAGCCAGTTGGCCTTCGTGAGAACAATTCTAAGAGATCTTTTAGCGGATGAAAATTCGGCCTTCCCAGCTGGAATGAATGTGGCGGCAACCTGGAGTCGGAGCCTGATGTACGCTCGAGGTGCGGCTATGGGAGCTGAGCATCGCGGAAAGGGCGTAGATACGCAATTGGGACCTGTGGCGGGGCCTATTGGCCGTACACCTGAGGGTGGTCGAAACTGGGAAGGCTTCAGCCCTGACCCAGTGCTCACGGGAGTTGGAATGGCCCAGACGGTTCAGGGAATCCAAGACTCTGGTGTAATTGCCTGTGCCAAGCATTTCATTGGTAACGAGCAGGAACATTACCGTCAAGGTGGTGCTTCCGCGTTATCGAACGGACAGAACAACAAGCAAGCAGAATCCTCCAACATCGATGACGTTACGCTTCACGAGCTGTATCTCTGGTAAGGAAAATCTCCACAAACAATGTTGAGCAATTACTGACTGTTTCTTTCTTGCCAGGCCCTTTGCGGATGCTGTTCGCGCTGGAGTAGGGTCCATCATGTGCTCATACAACCAGGTCAACAACAGCTACGCATGTCAAAACAGTTACATGCTGAATTACATTCTCAAGGAGGAACTGGGTTTCCAGGGATTTGGTAAGTCGTGCTAATGCTTTCTGATCGATGCAAAAGCTTACACATCTTAGTCATGAGCGATTGGTGGGCACAGCAGTCTGGTGTCGCCAGCGCCCTGGCTGGCCTTGATCAGACCATGGCTGGAGATCAGGGTCTTGCGTCTGGAGACACTTACTGGGGAAGCAACCTTACTGCCGCTGTCATCAATGGCACCGTTCCCCAATGGAGACTCGACGACATGGTGGTGAGAATTATGACTTCTTATTACAAGATTGGCCGTGATGTTACCAAAGTCCCTGTCAACTTCGATTCATGGAGTTTGGAGACCACCGGGCCCATATATGCGCAGGATCCAAACAAGGGACTTACGACCATCAACCAGCACGTCAACGTACAAGCTGATCACAAGAACCTCATTCGCCAGATTGGTGGCGCCTCAACAGTTCTCCTCAAGAACACGAAGAAGGCGCTCCCTCTGAAGAAACCCAAGAGCATTGCCGTCATCGGAAACGACGCTCATGACAACCCAGCGGGCCCCAATGCATGCAGCGACCGAGGCTGCTCCAACGTCAAGAACGGCTACCCCATCTGGACCCTCGCTATGGGTTGGGGAAGTGGCACTGCCAACTTCCCATACTTGATCAGTCCCGTTACAGCTCTTTCTGCCCAGGCCGAGCAGGACAAGACCAGCTTCAGGAATGTGAGCAACAACTTTGATACAAATGCTATCATCAAGGCAGCTTCAGGTGTTGATGCAGCTATTGTATTTGTCAACGCCGATAGTGGCGAAGGCTACATCACTGTCGACGGCAACCAGGGTGATCGAAACAACCTCACTGCCTGGGGTAACGGCGACGCAGTGGTCTCACTGGTTGCGCAGCACAACCCAAATACCATCGTTGTCATGCACACTGTCGGACCTATCATTGTGGAGGCCTACAAGAACAACCCCAATGTCACTGCCATTCTCTGGGCTGGTCTTCCTGGCCAAGAGTCCGGCAATTCCATCACCGACGTTCTCTACGGCAAGGTTAACCCCCAGGCCAAGTCTATCTTTACCTGGGGCAAGCAGCGTACTGACTGGGGTACTGATGTCATTTACACAACTGCCCAAGATCCGGTACAAATCCCGTACACCGAGGGAACCTTCATTGACTATCGCCACTTCGATGCCGCTGGTATTGAACCAAGCTACGAGTTCGGCTTTGGCCTTAGTTACACCACGTTCACCTATTCTGATCTCAAGATTGTCAAGCACAAGGTCCGCAATTATACTCCCAATAAAGGCAAGACGTCATCAGCACCCACATTTGGAACTATCAACAAGAATCCTGCGAAAAATGAGTTCCCCAAGAACATTGATCCAATTAACCTCTACGTCTACCCATATCTCGAGGGTCCCGTTCCTGAAGGGCAGCCCGAAGACGTCCCTCCAAACTCTCAGGATGGGTCGCCCCAGAAGGTCGCCCCGGCTGGTGGTGCTCCTGGCGGAAATCCTCGTCTGTACGACGTTCTGTATACTGTCACAGCTCAAATCGAGAACACTGGAAAGGTCGTGGGTACCGAAATCCCGCAACTGGTAAGTACTTTACAAATCATCGAAAATATCTGTCCTTGCAAAATTTCTAACTATTTGTCCTAGTATGTGAGCCTGGGTGGCCCAACTGATCCCGTACGTGTTCTGCGAGGATTTGATGACATTGAGATTCTTCCTGGCCGAGCTGCCACCGTCACATTCCAGTTGACCAGACGTGACCTGAGTAACTGGGACTCATCAAGCCAGAACTGGTTCATCTCTAACTATGCCAAGACTGTCTATGTGGGAAGCTCTTCAAGGACTTTGCCCTTGAGCCAAATTCTTCCTTAGGCATTGCAAGGTTATTAGGAGATGTTTGGGCAAGACTAGAAGTTGATCTGAATTTGGTAGTAATGATAACATTTATCTATAATTACAAAGCCAGCTAATTGAGTTATTTTTAAAATTGTATATTCCTCTGGAAAGACATTCCCGCTCAAAGAAAGGCTTGAAGCATGCGATCGAGAGATATGCTCTTCGCATCAGCCAAGAAGCTGTCGCTGACCGGAACACGCGACTTGTCAGATATAGTTCTCAAAACTTTCCCTATAAATTGTTTATATCAGCAGTGACCAGGATATATCGTTTGCTAGGCTTCGCCAGTCCGGGGAACGACTTGTTTTCTTATAGGACTGTCAATCCAGTCGAGCGAAACTACATATCCGGAGTTTATATCCTACAGCTATTACCCTTCAAAGAGCGTCCGGTTAGACATCGTTCGAGATTCGTGACGTAAGCACATCATTTTACCTGGCAGTCATATTCTGAAATCAGATTACTCTGCCCAATGGCAATGAGACCTCGATTCTCGTAACCAACAACGATGTTCGGTACGTTATTAACACCGCCCATCAAAGAACTGATTGTGATTACGCGCTTTTCTCTAACGAGCGGTGAGTGTTCTCTACAATCATGTACCCCAAACAGATACGATTCCATTGCCTTGTCTCACAAGTTGTCTGCTGCTACCCCCTATCGCATCAATGGTATTATTACCAACTGCCTATCCATCGCAACTGACGCCAAGCTTTGTCCACCCCTTCCGTGCAATCGCGTATATAAGGTGCACCCAAATGACGACTGTAGAAGCATCACAGCTAAAACTGGCATTTCAACACGACAATTGCTGATGTATAACAACGTGATTACCTGGAATTGTGCCAACTTACATTCGACAGATCCTTACTTAGGAACAATCGTCTGCCTAACGACTCCTAGAGGGACCTACAGCGGCCAACTCTAAAATAAAACACAGCCGGAAGATTCTCATCCTGCCAGTCCTCTCACGGGAGTGAATGTTGCCAAAAGTTTGACAACAGACCGTGTTCAGTGAATCTGAAGGATGGCAACGTTTTATGTGTACAAATTTAGCTACAGTACTAGGTTACTATTAACTTTTTAACAGCAGCCAATCCAAGTCCAAGGAAGGTGACCTGTGGTCAAGATTCTGCGAAAAGAAAATGCTTACCTGCGTCGATCCCATTCCAGGCTGGGCTTCAGGACAAGAACAAGCATCTACTACCGCATCGACAGCCGCATCGTCGACAGATTCCTCTATAACAAAATCTACTATAGGTACAACAAGTAAGACTTCATTCGTAACAGGCAACCCTTTTGCTAGTACCAAGGCTACATCCACGACGAGCAAGTCCACATCTTCAAGATTAAAGCGTCGTCTACGACTACGAGACCGACGCCTTCAAGTATCAAGCCGACAACTACTAACGAAGCTGTACCTAGCCCAACAGAGCCTGGCATCATTTGCCACTTGCACAACGTTCCACTTTGTTGTGAGTGGAGATGTCAGAGAGCAGTACAAAATCACGGAAGATAGTTTCTACAAATGGAACATGCAAGGGGGAGATACCGCTTGTTCCGAGCTCTGGTTAAGTTATGCACTATGCCTGGGTCGGAGTATGATACCAGGGGGCTCGTTTATGTTGTTGGTTGTGGTTGGCGTCGAAAGGAATTGGCACCCGCATTAGCTCGGACCGGTTATATAATTCCACCAATATAAAGAAGTTTAGGTGGAGATCTAAGCTGCATGAAATAGTACTATTGCGTCGCGACCAACAGCATACAGTATTTGTATGAAGTAGCTTGTAGGCTGTGTTCCATCAAAGGTTACGCCTTGTATTAGCCTCAATAATCCCCCTGCTATTTGCAAACTTTTCAGCTCAGGTACTGTGCTCTACCATGCCAGAGTGGTATTAGAGGCTTGATAGCTGCCTGCTGGGGCGGTCCCAAATCATCCTCCCAAGTTATTATTGCACCTGAACACTTCGGCGCCGTATTTCAATATGCGGACCTGATGCAATAAAACTTGACACTTATTGCCTGACTTAATTGTTACGCCGTCTATGTTGGCTGCAGTTTGATAGCATATCGCAAGTCATAAAAGGCCATCCAACGAAAGCGCTGCAACTCTACAGTGCAACAAATCCACATTGGCAAGATGACTGAAAAGGTGTCTCGTATCTCGGCGTCGCTGTATACCGGATTTTACAATCTTCAGATAGGCGATGATGGATATCCACCTCAGCCTTTCCATACGCTTGTTGATGAAAACGACAACAGCTTATTTGAGACTTGTGGTCGTCGACTGCTGCGCGCAATCCTTGTGAACAATGATGTTGATGCACTGGTTCACTATATTAAAAAATACCCTGAAATATGTACCGGAGATATTTTCCATCTGGGGACTGCTCGCGGGGGTGTGGATGTGCTAGAGCGCTCTTGCAACATTACGCTTCGAATACAAACACAATGCAGCCTCCTCATGAACGAGGATTTTGTTACTCAGCACGGCGTGCGAGCATTGTCGCCTTGACAGTTCGTCTTCTTTAAGAGGAATACCAAAAATATAACGACATTCACGCAAGAGCTGAGAACGACAAGTCAGCCATATTAGCGGCTGCGAAATGGTTGGGGTTCAATATCGACAATGAGGCTTCACGCCGCGACGAAATAATGCACATGCCGCTTGATAAAGGTGCATCGGCGGAAGATTTCGGCGAATGTCCGAGTTTTCCTACAGAGGTGACAATAGAGCTAGATCAGCCGATAGAGAATGTTTTAACGCTCGCTGTTCCTTGGGTTTGATCAAACGTTTCATCGACAACGGCGCTGACCCAAATGAGGGAACTTATACATACAGCACGGGCGATCATGCCGCCACTGAGAAGAAGGTAATAACTTGTGGAGTCACGGCTTTGTTCGCTGCTAATATATATTGGAATGTCGAGGCCGTCCGAATACTGCCTAGGCACTATATAGGTAGTGGTGATGCTGCCGAGCTGGTTTCGCGGTGCAGCAGCTATAGACGCCTCCCGCTTCATTGGACAGCTGGTGGAAGTAAAGAAGAATTTCACCCAAGCCTAATTGAATGCCCCGAATTTAATAAGAGGCTAGTGAATACACTGAAATTACTAGACCGTCAATGCTCAGGATCACGATGGAGGAACGCCTCTGCATTATGCTGCACACAGCTACGGCTGCTTCACAATCACCTAAAAAGGCGTCTTTCAGTATTTGTTCGACAATAGCGCTGATGCGAGTATCCAAAACCGAGAAGGGAGAGCACCATTTCAGTTTTTATGTGACCGATTCAACGACGGCATCCCTCACGAAGCAGCGACTATGAGCTTGCTTTTTACAGAGCGTGGGGAGCTATCTCACGCCGATGCAAGTGGCAATACATGTTTGTGCACACTGGCATCGCACTGGCATCGCGTCGAGGCTCTACAGTTTCTCTTATACCGAGGGGCTAACGTAGGCATAAAGAACCTAAAGGGAAACACGCCGCTTTATGAAGCAGCGAATAGGCATTTATGTCGGCGTCAACTACCTCAAGAAAAAATACAAATGGAATTTGACGGAATGATGAAGACTCTGTTAGAGGCGGGTGGTGACAAGGTAATGAACATGAAGAACATTGCTGGCAACACTGTGGGGGTAATGGTTGAAGAGACTTGGATCAAAGATCAACCAACACAATTCCCGACATGGAAGATTTGTATTCTCGCAGTTTTGCATTAGGCAGAGGGAAGAGTCCAATTCATCCTGTAGGTATATCTTGGAGCAGACGCAGATAACAATGAATTAGCTGGCAAGAAAAATTCTGTCGCAGCTATAGTGCTCTCTAGTTTCTCTTATATATTTGCAAATACTAAGCTGTTTAACCACTACTTGGGTTCTTTCAAGACTGTAGTACAAAACTCCAAAGTTACAATATGCGAAAATAATACCGCCTATGACCTATTAGGTTGGTAAGTAAAAGTTCGACTTGCTTCTATATACCATTGACGTTGTGAGCCTAACAGTAACTTTTTGGATTGTTCATGTTCATTACCAGTACTCTTTCTAGAATGCTAACAGAGCTAATCGCTGACTGGGTCGTGTAAGTGTCACTCACGGAGGCCAAACTTATCTGAGCGGCCAGAATCTACGCTGTAGCGCTCATTGGACACTAAGTGGTTCATGTCTATCCTCCACCAGCTTCTTCAGTTACTATTATTTGTCTTATGTAGTTCTTCGTTTTTATCTTGTCTTGAGGATCTCTCCTAGAACTAATATTCCATTTCCCCCGTATACTACTCATCAGAATAAATAGATGACCCGTCTGGGTTCTGCAACACGTAGCCATATGAACCGCGCTAGCGATATTTCAGAGGTTTAGGCGGAATGACTCTCTTGAACGTAATACCATGGTTATTCATGTACTTGATGCCCGACTGATGACCCTTTGAGTCGACCCAGCTAAGGTCGATGACATATGTACGGCCGTTGACGGTGATACTTTTGCCAACCAGGACGTAGGGCAAGACAACAGATTTTGGGCATGCCAAAGGTATACTACCGAGGCCAGCACTACAAAAAAAGTTGAGGTTCAAGCCAATGTTCTACCTGATACCTCGTAATTTTCTCAGAGGCGCAATGGCGTTTGGAGAATCAATATTAAGATAAAGAGATCCAGTTTTGGCCATGATGTGAGAAATGGCGTGAAAGCCTTGGAACATGGTTTATGAGTCATCGTGGATGAGCTCAATAGGGATCTAGGAGGTTAAAGAAAAAGGATATGAGAAACAAAGAAAGAGGAAGAATTGAGAGAATTCTCGGGACTGAAGCTGATTAAAAGATATGTTATCGTGAAGGCCTCTATGCTCCGTCTATACATATGCAACCCGCAGCAGTGGGCCTCGACAACTGTGGATTTCTGTGGAGAGCGTAAGAATCCAGAATTTTTGATAATATAACTCTCTAGATCAGACTGATGTTTGTACCTTTAGGCTTCTATTATTGTTGTTATAAACAGGTCCAGTAGATTGAGAGCAACACAAGAAAAGTTGTCTTATCTTCTATGGGAGCAGTGAGTATCTCTCACTAAGTGTAACATACCCAGTTTATAAGAATACACACTATACGCTATATTATCCTACAACATGCAATAACAATCCTTTTTTTTTTGTCATAGAGTTGTTATTTTGAAGCGCAAGAGAACAATTAGTTGATTACTCCCAGTAGTGTAAAAACCTTAACATCAGTGGAGACAATACAGGTTAGGCTTGTAGAGCTGTATTAGCATCTGTAAAGACATTAATATAAAATATTATTCAGCATCCGAGCTGCAGCTCAACAAAAAGCTATATTACACTAATACCTACATATAGTTAGACTGGACTTATTACATGGATGAATAACTCGCCGATGCTATATTCTTATCTTTTTCCATGTCAAGTTTCGGTTACAAAAACAAATAAAACTCAAGGCAATCGGTCCGATGCAACAGTCTGCTTACAATACAATAGTTCTTCGAAGCTTGTAACAAGCTTATATCCTAAACTAACATCTCGCACTAAGTAACTTATTTTTCTACAAGAGACAATAGTCTCTTCTATATAATTAGGAATAGTCGAAGTCTACTTTTCTTCTTATTTATTATTTACTATTGCTTATAGTATAATGACTTCCTCTATTATTAACGTTGACTACCGTGGCCGCATTGCGGTTGTTTCCATTAATAATGCCAAAAAGCTCAACGTATTGAGCCAGCAGCAGTACTTCGAACTCGCTAGTCGCATGAGAGAAATTGCTACTCATGATGAAGTATTCATAACTGTAATCACCGCCAAAGGGCGTTACTTCTCTGCGTACGTATAAGCACGGCCTCATTTACTTGTGAAAATTAATACTCACCTTCAGCAGTGGCTTCGATGTTGGCAGCAACCCCCCGTTGCCGAAGGGGGAGGACAAGATACGCCTACACTGGCTCCAGCACTTTCTCGCATTCAATATTAATATCACAGATGCCTTCGCAACCCACCCAAAGGTCTTGGTTGTAGCTCTCAACGGACCTGTGATTGGACTATCTGCATCCCTTACAGCGTTTGCAGATTTTGTGTACTGCGTCCCCGATACAGTTCTTTTCATGCCGTTCGCATCTCTTGGCCTTGTCACGGAGGGCGGCGCCTCGCGAGCTCTAGTTCAGCGGCTAGGAGCAGGAAAGGCGAGAGAGGCGCTACTCATGTGCAAAAAGATCACGTCGGAGGAACTCCTAGCTGCAGGCTTCGTTAACAAGATTTTCCCTTGCAGCCAAGGTGAGGAGGAAAAGTTCCACCGCCTTGTATTCGAGGAAATTGAGGAGCGACTAGGCGATCAACTTGTGGGAGAAAGCTTGATCCAGATCAAGAAGCTCATTAATAAACCTGAAGTGGAAGCAATGGAGAGGCAAAATATCGCCGAGGTGTTTGCCGGCGTAAATAGCCTAGTCACAGGACTTCCGCAGGCCGAGTTCGACAAGATTTCTTCCGGTCGTAAGCGATTTAAACTATGAACAACTATTTGTAAAAGTCATGATCTAGAGACAAAAACTTGGTCTAATTGCTTCCTATTCTATTGAGACTTCTATTTGGCAAATTGATAGCGAAATTGGCCATTTTCAACCGTCGTAAGTCACGGAACTGGTTGAAAGCTATCAACACATATATACTAAAGCTATCTTAAAATGTATTTTGCACACGGAACTATTATATCTTGGACTTAGGGTTTGACTTTTGTTTGGACGGAAGGCCCCGAGCCTTGCCAAATCCCCAACCGACTAGAGATATCATTAGCTAAAAGTCTAAGATAAGGTCAAGTATACTTATTAGGGTCTTACTCACATTGGCTTGCGACATGAATATCGACGCCCAGCTCGTCAGCCCACTGCCAGACCAGATTTGGGTTTTTCACAAAGGCTCGCCCCGAAACAACGACGTCTGCGGCCGATGAGTCCAGGACATCCTGAGCCTGTTGTCCCGTTATAACACTGCCGCTAACTCCAACGATGACACTAGTGCCCGCCAGAGCTTTCTTTATCTGCTTAGCCAGGTCAACTTGGTAGCCCTTCCCGTATTTCATTTTTTGGCGGCGGTCGAGAGCGCCACTGGAGACATCAATATAGTCGACTCCATGCTCTGCAAGAATCTTGGCGAGCTTGGCGGATTGCTCCAGATTCCACTGCGGAATAGACTCGTCATACTCCAGATGGTCAGTTGCCGGCATGCGGACACCGATAGGGAAGCCGGCAGGGACTTCAGCTTTTACCAAATCCACTATCTCGACCAGGAGACGGATTCTGTTCTCAAAAGAGCCACCGTAGTTGTCTTTGCGCTGGTTGGCAGCTGGAGACAAGAAGCTGTGGAGGAGGAAGCCGAAGGCTGCCTGAAAGAGAATTGTCTGCGGAAAATTAGAAAGCGATATCTCAAATAGCAGCAGTATTTCGGTTACTTACGTCAAAACCAGCCTTGAGAGCTCTCTTCGCTGCTGCTACCCAGTCCTTCTTCAGAGACTCAATGTCGGCGATGGTCATTTCTCTCGGTAGACAGGTATCAGGGCTGAATGGTAACGGGCTGCAGCTAATGACCTTATCAGGCCATCCAAAGTCCTGAAACGAATTAGTGTTGAGTCTCATCTACCAAAAAGTATATGATGCCGTACTTTGCCTTTAGAAACTTTTGTCATTTCCAGCCACGGTGAGAGTCGGCTCGCCTTTCTTCCGGCGTGCTGAAGCTGTATGCCGATCTTGACACCTTGGCTATGGGCGAACTCGGTGATCTCAGCGAGAGGCTCGATGTGTGCGTCGCTCCAAAGTCCAGCATCCGAAGGCGTGATGCGGCCATAAGGGCTAACAGAGTGAGCCTCCATGAAAATTAAGCCCGGGCCGCGTGCAGAGAAGCTGTTGATCAGAGATTTGTGCCATTGTGTAGCGAAACCATCTGGGGATGAATATCTACGTTGTTCAGAGTTAGTCGTGTATAGAATTCGTATAATGCGGGTTGGATTTATGGGAATTCGTACTGGCACATTGGAGATACAACAATGCGATTGTGAATAGTCATCCCTCCGATGTTGATGGGCTTGAACAAGCTAGGGCAGTCTTTATCCTTGGCAGTACCCGCAGCTGGCTCTTGTCGAGGCGTGTAGAACGAAACCTAAGTCTATCTTCAGAATTGTCCCCGTAGAAGTGCATTTTGTTGTCAAACAGTCGTCGACTTACACCGGGTGCGGCATCTGCTGCGCCAATTGCTCCTTGCAAAGGTGGTGCCATCTTGTTGCAGTTGCAGTTGCTAGTGTTGTTGTTGCTGTTTGTGATGTTTGTTGGAATATTATGTTGCAGTTGCAGTTGTAAGGCAGTAAACCGGCAACTATGAGTTGTCTTGGTAGATCAAAGATAAAAACACTAGAATTATTAACTAAAACTAGTTTCCATCTTCTTAGTACTTTGAACACAACTAACTTGATTTGAACAATAGGCCGAAAAAGACCGAAGCTTGTAACAATTAATAAAACAATCTACCGATTACTTTTACTACAATACAGTAGGAGGTAGTATTATTAAACCCTTAGCATCTAGATTAAGGTCTTAGATCTGGAACTTGCAATTTACAGCTGGAATAGGGTCAGAGTCAGCACTAATTTCTGATTCTGCGGTATAAATCTCTTTCGAATAAGACACTTTGGGAAAGTGGATTAAACAAATCGTATTCAGCCCAAGTTACATGGTATATTAAAGTATAAACGTGTTAGATAATATGCTCGCAGCGTTGCTGTAATGCAACCTTGCTAACTAAATACGCCGCTTACTTATCAATGAATAGGCACCCTGGATTATAGTAAGGTTGCTGCAGCAAGACCTTTATCGGTAAGGGCCACGCCACCGGGGGTGGGGGTCGGCTGTCGGTCTTACGACAATTGCCAGGAATATTCTCTGATCTAATGAATCGGTTACTGAATAAGCTAACAGAGCCTGCTCTCCTTATCAAGGCGTGGAAAAACGTGCTTTTTACACGTTGACATTGAATCCTTTCTCTGCAAGGTCCAGGATCATGCTGCCTGCCTAACATACCTAGCAAAATTGCATGTCAGCCGCCGAAAGCATGTTCCTCCTGGTAACATGTCGGTCGTATGATGGCGCCGGCGATTTAGTTTCAAGGAGTTGAGGGACTACTACCCTAGTATAGCTAGATCTCCTTATTATTGTAAACAAACTAAACTAATGTTTACAACTATTCTAACTTTATTAGACTGTATTTTTATAAGCTTGGATAAGAGGCATGAAGCTGCAATTGTATAATATATTAAAAGAAAAGTATAGTATTGTAAATATTTAACAAAAAAAAATTACTTTTGTTAAATTAGGTAGTTTTGAAAACTTATTACTTACGACTCTAGTACCAAGCCTGACCCTGTATTAATAAAGTATTTATTTGTTATAAATACAATATGTAATATGTAATATATTATATATTATATTATAGTTACTTATCTAAAGATACATCCCCTGTGATTTATATTTGTATACCAACTACTATACTACTATTTGCCTAGTTACTGTTCTCTCACTAATATTGTTCCAAGCGTGTAAAATTTAGAATAGTGTCTTCAAAAGTATAGGTGCTGTATTTCTAGTTAATTTATAAGGGCCAGTCAACCTTTGTCTTAAATCTAGTCTCATAATTTGAACAATACAACCTCATTGCCTTCCAGAATCCAAGCTACAATGTTTACTTCCCCAGCTTGGGTGCCTAGTCTCCCATTTGGTACTTCCCCATGTGTCTTTTATATTGATTCTAGCTGATCTGTGTTTTTTGGAAGAACCTCCTAATAGCATTACTATTGAGGAGTTTATCCTGTCCGGCAAATATGGCAGACGGCCAGCAGCAACATCACGGAGTCCCTTTACATGTGGCCTCACCGGGAAGAGCTTCACAGCTACCCAGGTGCCACAGAGGATCAACTTCCTTGCACGAGGCCTTGCCCAGGCTCTCAACATTACACCAAACAAAGGCTTGTCACTAGACAAAGTTATTGCAGTATTCTCGCCCAACACGGTATGGATATACTATGGTGGGGACTTCAACAAAACATGAATCATTACAGCTAACAAACAGCCCTAGATCAATTACATACCGCTAGTTTTGGCAATTCATCGAATTGGAGGCATTGTAACTCCAGCAAGCGCATCTCAGTCGCCGTCTGAGCTTGAATATCAGCTCAAAAAAACCGGTGCTGTGGCTATCTTTACCTGCCCTCAGCTCCTAGACACTGCTAAGAAGGCTGCGGAACAATGTGGTATTACTGACGACAAGATATTCATTATGGACTTCTCTGGGGCCAAAAGCACCACGTCTCATATCAGCCTTGAGAAGCTGATCTCCATTGGCAAAGATTTACCTGACCTTGAGGCATTGAACTGGCCTAAAGGTGAAGGGGCACGGCGAGCAGCCTTTATCTCAATGTCTAGCGGAACGTCCGGTTTACCTGTAAGTCAAGCTTGATGCCATTGATTGTGTAAAGATTCTTTTTTTGACCCTTCCTTAAGAAAGCATGTGTCATATCTCATTACAATGTCATTTCAAACGTGTTAGCAACAGCTACATACGAAACAGGAGCGAGAAGCCATTTCAAATTTGACACCCAAGTCACTCTCGGGCTGCTACCAATGAGTCACATTTATGGCCTCGTCACTGTTGCACTCTGCGCGGCATATCAGGGTGATGAGCTCATTGTGCTTCCCAAGTTCACAATTGACTCTTTTCTCGATGCTATTCAGCGCTTTAAGATACGGCGTCTGTATGTGGTACGTATCAAGCTCATGCGGAAGCTGTCATGGCTGATGAACACTCCTCAGAACATGTTGAAGATAGTAAAATATGTGCTGATATGATCAATAGGCACCCCCGATCATCATACAGATGCTCCGGAATCGCGACAAGTGCCTCAAGCATGATCTATCTAGCGTGGCAAACATACATACAGGTGGTGCTCCTCTTTACGCGGAAACCGCAGAACAGCTTCTCAAAATGTACCCTGATTGGCACCTCGGACAAGGTTATGGTAAGCTACCGAGTCTAAGAACCTACTTTATGACATTGCGCACGCAAATTGACCAAAGCTCACTTACTAGGCATGACTGAAACTGCTACATTAATTTGCACTACTAGCGAACATGACATTGATCTTGGTTCCTCCGGCTCTCTGCTTCCGGGTATCCGTGCCAAGGTCATTGACTCCGACGGCAAAGAAGTTTTTACATACGAGACCCCAGGAGAGCTTCTTGTACAGAGTCCCTCAATTATCCCAGGCTATCTGGGCAATGGGAGAGCTGACGAGGAGACCTTCGTCTGGGACGATGACGGCAGGTGGATTAAGACTGGTGATGAGGTTGTGATTCGCAAGGGACCATCCGGGAACGAGCATGTAGTTGTTGTCGACCGAATAAAGGAACTGATCAAGGTTAAGGTAAGTGTATTTGTTGGAGGCCTTTTTGGATTTCTCATTTACGAAGATGGTGTCTTGAAGCTAACATGAATCAGGGATTCCAAGTTCCGCCAGCCGAGCTAGAGGCTCATCTGCTCACCCATGTCGCGGTCCAGGACTGTGCGGTCATTCCCGTCCCAGATGAAGCCGCTGGCGAGCGGCCCAAGGCCTTTGTCGTAAAGAAGGCCTCTGCTGCAGGAGCCGTGGACGATGAAGAGTTGGCACGTCAGATCTCGCTTCATGTGCAGAACCATAAGGCTGCGCACAAGTGGCTAAAAGGCGGCATTGAATTTGTTAATGAGGTGCCAAAGAGCCCTTCGGGAAAGATCCTCCGTCGTCTGCTTGTGGATCTAGAGAGAAAGCGCCGCGCTAGGGGAAGAGCCAGGCTGTAGAGGACACTTTCGTTTTCATTGTGCACATATTTTATAGGATTCTATCAGCTGTATCTAAAATTCATTGTCTCGTTCACTTGTCATTATACATTTGATGTCTATTTAGTGCTATAATTGTTTATTTCCACTCTATAGACCGTATCAACGTTGCGAGTTTGCAACATGGAGATGCAATACTCATAACGGTTATACATTAGGACACCAAGTTCTCATAGTTTTCCATCTAAACCAATAAATACAGCACTTGATTTCGCAAGTGCCTTTCCCGATCCATCCTGCAGAGTCGCTGTGATGAGCAGCTTGCGCCCCTCTACCTTGTCTAGACTCACTGCTACCAGCACTGTGGTTGGCGTCTTGACGGGCTTCTGGAACGACATGTTAAGAGAGACAGTACCGTACCAAGGGCAAGCAAGTGCCCCGCGGCGGATATTTATCAGAATGAGCGAGACCATGGACTCATCCAGCAAGGTGGCGACCATTCCTCCATGGCAAACGCCAGGAAACCCGTCCAGCCCGTTGTTTAAATTGGCGAGGAGTTTGATATCGTGGATACGTGAATTCGGGTTCTCTGTTCTTGTGTAAAGGGCAAGGAACTCTGGGATGGTGTTTGAAGTGTTCAAAGTCCTTTCCCAGAGCTCATATGTAGTATCCTTTTCGCCGGCTCGGCACGGAGGAATGCACGCTTCAACATCGGGGTTACTGAGAAGTTCTGAGCACCATGGGACAGAAGCGAAGCTCTTCTTAAGATCAATAATTGTAGGCATTGTGCGGTGAAAGAGAGAGCTGTAAAAGCGCGAAAAGTCCAGACAATCTTAAGCAATCTAAAAGTTACCGGATTAAAACAACGCAGGGGACGCAAGAAGAAGTCTTGGGGCCAATGATATTTAAATATCTAGCTCAATAAGGTTACCTATAACAGGGGTCAAGATACTAAAATCTTATGAGTAATTAATTACATTAGCAGTAAATAAGACTTGGCTGACAAATCTTTGTACAGGTTTTACACTTTCGTCAACAAAACACCATTTGTCTTGACCAGACGTGCTACAAACATTAAAGCAGTGCCAACAGCAGTAGTAACTCCAGTCCAAATCCACACTCCTGAGTAGCCGCCCACAGGCTGGATAGCACCAGCAATAGGATTACTTGCAAGCACTGCGAATGACAAGAAGCAAAACGCCATTCCCACTCGCGTCCCAACAAGCTTGGGGTTGGGGCAAAGTCCAATTACCACAACTGGCTGTAGTGCAAAGAACAAGCCAGTAGCACCTCCAAAGCCCATGCTTATAATAATAAGTGAGGCAAGGCTTTTCGCGCCTTCAAAGGCAAATGCGAAAATAAAGGTTAAAACACTTGTTATAATAAGCATATTAAAAGGGCCAGTGTATGGGCTGAGAAAGTTAGGCAGGATTCGCCCTATGGCAGATACTGCGTTCATAACTGCAATCATATAGAAGCTTAGATTTGCGTCTGCAATGTTGTTCTCCACTGCATATACTTGAACATAGAAAAAGGGTGTAAAACCTCCAAGCAGATAGATGAAATTGCCGATTAATAAAATGACAAGGGGCCAGTCGGTAAAGGCGGTTGTATCAATAATTCTGCGGCGGCCAGCACTAGGGGTTATGCGAGGCTGTAGAAAAAGTACTGGGAGCAGAAGCGTAACGAGAAGGATAAAACCGATGATACGAACAGTCCATGGAAACCCAATCTTGGGCTGCAATTCACGGAATGTAATAGGCAAGATAATACTAAGTTACATATATCAGTATTGTGATTTCTTAGCGTAGGAGAACTTACCCGCCAATTCCTGTTCCTGAACCCGCAATTCCCACAGTCAAGGGATATAAAGATGTAAAGTAAGTCGAGAGAATGGTAGGAGTTAAGAACGATATTAAGCCGCCTCCAAGTCCAATGCATAAGGATTGGGCTAAGATGAACTGCCAATACTGTGTACAGAGACTTTGCATCATCGTTCCTAAAACAATAAAGATTGATCCTGCAATAACAAGAGAACGTGTATAGCCTGCATCATATAAAGGGCCTGCAGCACCGCTAGCAAAAAACAGAAGAAACGTCTGTATTCCGCCAATAAGAGAGGCACGGGAGGGATCAAATTGGAATTCAGTTGTATAGTAATTCTGATAAATCCCAAAAGTATTAATGAGACCTATCGATCAATTGTTAGCCAGCCGCCTTTGACGCACAAAGGCGCATGTTCATTCTAGATACCACGGCTGCCGCACCATACGTATTGAAGTAAAGGAAAAAGCCACAAGCAACCTGCAACCAGGCTTTCCATCCACCATTTGGGCGCGTGGCCTGGTCCGGCTGAGAAGTCTTTTCCAGTTCTACGGCTGGGCCATTATTCCTTAGTACGCCAGAGAACTCAGTCTCCGTAGGTCTTGACCCCTTGTGTAAAGCAGTTGAATCTCTGTCTGTGGCGTTGGTGCTGCTGGTATCGACTTCATCTGGAGAATGCTGTTTGGAATCCATCGTCATGTTCCAAACAGAGCAATGATAACAAATTGGACCCAGCACTTGGGGCTAATCGTGCCTGTTAATCGGATTCGGCTTGCATCTAGAAAGAAACACCGGATCTCTTTTCTGTTGGCAGTGGTAAAAAAGCTTTGCCTTGCGGGAAGATTCAGTTCAAAGCATTTTTAACAAATATCTTTGACAAGAAGATCATAGTAGTTTTGGGAGGAGGGAAACATTGCAGGGAACTTCGACACGTCAGTTTCAAGGCCCCAGAAAAAGGCCGACAACCCGCCTTTGTCTCCATTTGGTTGATGATGTTAATGTTCGGTACGGTCCGGTGCTGCTGAGCACAATTCGTGTACTACATAGCACGGAACATATCCCAATAAAGACTAAGTTATCCTTACGTGCTTATTACAACTAAACTCAAACCGAGAAGTAATAGAGTGGGGTAGGTGTACCAAGAGATTGTGATCTACACTCGGAACCTACGTCCCGGCTACAAGCACACCCTTTGACACCCCTACATCAATCACGTAGTTTGCAGTCTTAACAAAGTTGCATTACAAGTCTAGCGAATAATATCAATTAATAAGAAGTGAGAGTAAATAGCTTACAAAAACCAGTATAATTAAATGCAAATCTTACGTATTAATATTAATAATTCATACTAATCAATAATAATTCATATCTATCATGCAACAACTATACGAATGGGACCGCTTTACTACAGGGGGGTGTTCTAACAAGGGCCTTGTAGCAGCTACGTCAAAGGTATTCTTTCTGTAGTCGCAAGAATATGTAACAGTAAATCTTACCTCCCTCATGAATTACAAACTACCAAGAAAAAAATCTCGAATATCATTACCCTCTTTGAAAATTACCTCATAAAACTTCAAATAATCGGCCCATAATTGTAACAACAGTGGGATCACGGGAATATGTGCCTGTGAGATGAGTTACCAACGCACATTGATATATTCTTCGCACTCTGTCTTTTAACACAACTTTGTTGGGTGACGGCATTCATCTGGCCAGCACCTTACGTAGGTTCCAACGTTTACGCCTTTATGGGAGGTTGGGGATCCTTACCATCACTACTGGGCAACTCTCATTTGCACCAGCGCCTCCATACGCTGTCTTGACCTGCGACCAGGATATTCCAGCACGCTTGCACCAGACCGGGCTGTAAGATAAAGGAAGTGGAAGAACACGTAGAAGACCCGAAGACGTAACAGGGGCGCTCCGCGCAAAGAGTTTCCTTCCGCAATAGTCCTCATTTCACCACCGTATACAATACGGGATCACAATTGCGAATACTACCTCACGGGAAACAATTGCCTCACATTGGGTAGGATTCTCTAGAAAGTTGAGACCCCCACGTCAAGGCTTTTTAACCGGTGAAAATAGATGGTGGTGGAATGCACAAAATTATCTACATGATCGTAATTACTATAACATTTGTTACATATCCGCCAACTATTCAAAACAACCTGGGTATAGGCACTTTGGTATATAGGGAGAATTTGGTAAAGAAAAAAAACTGTTACAACGCTGTGGCAAATACTTTTACAAGGGCAGGGCATTAGCGCAATGCTTCTTAGATCAGATTGGGGTACTTGCGCATTAGGATAAGTGTGCAAAAAGCAAGATAAGAAATTCCCTGTACCTACTTTTTAGGTGCTATTTAAGTAATTACAAACACTTGATGTATTTGTAAAGTTACAGTCTGATATTCAGCGGTCCCTGTCCCTGGTACAAGGCTTCGGCTATCGGAAGTACTTTTGTAGGGTTTAATGTCGCCGAACTATCTACTACCTCTAAACAGTTACTGTAAAAACTAGGTTAGTAAACTACCTAGATTGTGAACAGAGAATGACTTGGTCTTTGGCGCAATTAACTACTATAATAAACAAGTAGATGCTAATTAGGTAAAGCTTTAATAAGGGTTTTAGTAAAAAGATTTTTTATATTTATATTAAGGAACAGGTTGCTTTATTAATATATATATATGGTTATGAATATTAAATAATAATTGCTATTCCCTTTATTTATATTTATAACAGTTGTATTATAATATAATAATTTTATAAATAATATTTTTCTATAATTCTTTATAGTATATTATATATTATTAGAAGTTTTTTTAGCTAAAATAACTTTATTATTATTCTTAAATCTTTTTGCTTTAATTAAATATTATATAACTTGTTGGAATAATTAGATAAAAAATGCATTTCAGTAATATCTTTTCTAACATTCTGCTAATAGACAACTCGATCATTTATTAATGTAAATTTTTTTTTTGACTCAGCTATCTACCATTATCTTCAAAAGTGCCATTTTCATTGTCAATTTTCACAAGACACCGCTGATCACTGACAAGCATCCCGATTGTCAATCTGCCCAAAGTCCCAACACGTATATCCTCAGATTTCATAGCCGAAGTTTATATGTGCTGATTTTGAGCAACTAGATACCATACAACCAAGGGAACATGGAGAACACAAGTCAACTCGTCGCCAGCCTTCTCAGTAATGCAGATGTGAGTATACGAAGCCGAAATAAAATGGCGAACCCAATGAGCAAGTGGGCTCCCTGCTTTTACAAGCAACGCAAGCGCTCTCAAAGATGCTCTATTTAACAGTGTGGGCTATGGTGATGTCTAATGGAAACAGAGTAAGCTTCAACTACCGCTTCCATTTCGTTGAGCTGCCAATGTTTGACAGCAGACTCGCGCATACTAGCAGCATTGTTGATTAGGGAGCCCAAGACATCAAGGCGAATAGGACCACAACCGTCACAGGGTCCGCAAAGACATTGAATTCCGTCATCGGTATGATGTTGTCTGTTGCGTTGAATGCGCTGCCCATCATAGTGACCTCTTTTACTCTCAATAAAGTCTCATGGTCCCGGTGCAGCGGCCAACTCGATGTTCGTCATGGAACCAATAACTGCTGTAGAAATGGCGTTGGGGGGATTATCGACAAGAAGTCTGAGCATTTCCCCTTGTGCCGGCTCTCCAGAGGGTTTGAAGAGTGTCCAGAAAGGCTGAACGATGTCGGTATTAACAGGGATACCTTTCTCAAGAAGGGATTTCCAGGTATCGTCCGGACTTGGATCGGGAAATCGATTGTGCACGCCATGCACGCCATCCATACCATCTGCTTCCACGTCAGTGCTACTTCCACAGCAATGAGCGTTGACCTACGGAAGTGGTCAGCTTTGAGCTCTGTGGCCTCCAGCGAATGCGTGGCTCCAACAGCAACAGTAGGCTTGCAAGCACATAACGGCTCAAATCCGACTCAGCACCCGTTGATATTACGCCACTCTATCTCCTTGTCTACCTCATGATACATGCTGATAAGATTTCGCAGGCTTCTCCATGGAACTTGTGAGCAGGGATGCTAAGTTTCATGCTCCTTTACATACTTCTCTAGAGCTACGTTCCCGTACGGTAAGGTTGTCAGTATAACCTCAATTTCTTCCACCATGGAAGGAAGTGCCAGTAAGATGGCCAAAATATCATCAGTACCTCCAGTCCATGTTAGTCCACATGTTGCCAGAGAGTCGTAAAGAAAGAACGTCCTTCCATACCTAGGTCAGCATGTATGATCATTCGACTCCTGGACAATATTTTGGTATGGTTCATGCACAGCTCACTCAAGATGCATGGCCGTTGGGGTATATCTTGACTGCTCTTCCTTTGAAGCATAATATCCAGCGATTCTGAATGGTCTGTTTTGGACTGGAGCGAGGATTAAGTCAGATATTGACTAGTGGTGTATTGACTATTCATCTTCATGCGCTGACAACGCCTAGGTGAGGTTCGCCGTCGGCCAAGTATCGCGCAAGTCATAGTGCGCCAGCCCTATTGCAGCGCGTAAACTTAGCATGAAATATGGCCGTCTCGTTGACTCATCGGCGGCAAAGCCAATTCTAGACATTGTGATGAAGCTCAGGGCCGGGCCTCCAAGTATCCCCCAGTAATGGAACCACCTTGCCGGAGGAGAATGTACCTATGGCCAACTCCTCTACTGTAAATTCCTCTAAGCGACAAGCTTTAGAGAACAAACGAATAGCCTGAGCCAATCCCATTCCATCTATACTATAATACTGAGAAATGTGAGAACTAACCCGCCCGCCATGATTGTCGCCTGGAACTGAAAGACTTCTGCTACCGTTTCGCCGGGTCGCCCCGAGCTGGACTTCCTTGGGGCGACAAGGCCCTCATCCAGGTCATTCATATCGAAGTCAGATCGTACCAAGGCCTTCCAAGAAGGAGCATCTGCACTATCCCTCATATTTCTTATCGTCATGCGAGGTGTAGCATCCAAGGGCTTGATCTTGAAGACACCTGTGTTGCCGTATGCTCCTCCCTCCTAGACAACCTGTCCGGCCAACCATGGAAAATGATAGGAAAGTCGATCGTTGCCCTTGATCAAGATGTCGACAATTATTTCCACGTCATGGTCATTGGTGAGAGCAAAACAGAAACTGGTCTGTGTAAAAATAGTGACCCATCTTTGGCCAAATATGTCGACCTGGACATCGAACTCAGAGGGAACGCTGGCCAGACCCATGGTGCTTCAGAGCACAGAAAATCAGGTGGACAGTGCACTTAAGAGCACCTCTGCGGTCTTTCTTGTAGAGAGATAATAATATGCCCATCAATAGGGTTATTTTTTTGAGATTATAGCAGTTCTTATACTTGGACTTAGAGCCAGTCTTCGATTAGTCATAGCAGCCAGGCGACAAGCCGGAATTAGCTATGACTTGTGTCAGGGTCTGAATATTCCCAGTAGGTTAAAGCTACTGTTTCCTAGGTTTATGCTATTAATATTCAATTCTTGTAATAGGAGTTTGTTGATCAATGATCAGAGGGTATAGAGATAAAGTTGTATCAAGTGCTGAAAGCTATCTAGAAGCTGTGGTAATGACTGTATCTTAAATTCTAGACTGATCATTACTTTGTCGAATTATAATGATGATTGTCGGCCCCAATCATTATCGGCCCTGATCATTGTCTTCATTCAATGATTCGGGCGGGTTTCCCCCGGTCGGTTGTGTGGATAGAGTCTTCGTGACTAGTTCACGACTTTGTTTGTCAAGAGTCGTCTATCAACGGGAACGAGCGTAACCAATCAGGAGTAGGAAGAGTCGAGCCCGTGCAAGTACCAGGCCCGTGTAAAACAATGTAGTGTACTTTAATGAAACAATACATTTGCTCTAGCTGAAACATTTCCCTGTCCTAAACATTATCCTTTGTAGTTTTCTTGCCCTTGACTGAATAGAAAGGAATACCAAAGCAACCAATCGCTGTTACTGAAGCCATAACAGTTGCCACTAAAAATGTCTGTGTGATAGAGAGGTTATAAGCTGGAAGTATTTCAGTGAGCTCCTTCTTAGTAAAGCTAAGCTTTAGACTTAGTACTCCAACTTTTTGAACAAGCTTTGGATCAATATCAGGCGCCGCTCTGTGCAGGTTATCCATCAATTGATTCGTGAAAATGTTTTGCGCAGAAGAAAGGGCTACAATCCCTCCCAAGTTTTGGATAAAACTGACTAGCACTAGGGCAATCGGGAGGTCCTTTCCTGAGAAATTTGTTTGAGTAGCGATGATGGGCTGCTGAAAACCGAACCCGATGCCAAGGGCAAAGATAATTTGGTATATTATCCATAACGATATTGGCGTCTCGACGTGCAACGTTGTCAGCATTCCTGCGCCAAGCGACATCAATATAGATCCAAGACACATCGTTGGAGTATAGTACCCGATGATACTAGTTACGCTCCCTGATGTTAGGATGGAAACCACTAGAGACAATACCAGCGGAAGGCCACGAACGCCGCTGCTGAATGGCGAGGCTCCTTTCACTGCCTGAAACCAAATCGGTAGCTATTTTCGATAAATTAGCAATAAGATACATGTCACCAATCAGTAATACTTACATAATATACCACAACATACAGTGCCCCAGAAGTGTTGAAAGAATAAAGAGCTCCAAAAAGAACAGTCCTAGTAAGAAATATTCTTGGAGGCACGGTGGCCTCCTCGCCTTTCCAGTATTGGTAAACCCCGAAAGCAAACAGGAAGCATCCGGAGATTATGAATAATACAAAGACCCTCCAGTTGCTCCAAGCATAGTAAGTTCCGCCCCACTGAAGTGCCAAGATCAGACACACAATGGCTGGTATAAAAAGCGCCAGGCTGGGTAAGTCGAGGCGGCGTATTTTGTCCTTCAGAGTCAATTTCGATTGTTCGGCGCCTTCTTCGTTGCCCAGAAATAGCATTGTAATAACAATAGTTAGGCCTGCAAGGGGCAGAAGAAGCCAGAAGCACCACCTCCATCCCAGAGTCTCTGCTATCGCGCCGCCGAGCAATGGTCCAATCGAGATGGCCACGCATTCAATCGCCCCGATAATGCTAGAGTAGACTGGTCGCATTCGAACTGGAACGCACCGGGATATGATAATGTTGGTACCGGCTAATATTCCTGCACTTCCCAGGCCGGAGATGGCACGACCCACGATGAATGAACTGCTATTCGGCGCAACAGCGCATATGAGGCTCCCGACGGCAAAGGTGAAGACAACGGCAGAGAAGACAATTTTAGCTCGGTAGAAGAGATATAGTTTTCCGTAGAAGAGTTGTGAAGATGCCGAAGCCAGTAAGAAGGCAGCACCATACCAACCAACGTCGTTGAGTGAGTTGAATCTGTCTGTTACAACCGGGATAATTGTCGTCACGCAATTCGCGTCCTGTTTCAATGTTAGCAAAAACGACATTTGATAGCATAGTGTGGCATGCTTTGCATACATAACCGCACACTATAGTGGCTAGTATTATTGAGAGGAGGTTGAGAAATAACGGTATACCGCGAGGATACTTTGAGTCCTCTTCAGTTGGCGCATTCTCGGGGATTGGGTGTTCAGCTTCAATCGTTTCTCTCTTTGGGCATTCCATGATTACAGCTCAATAACAAAGCAAGTTTCTTTGAACATTCAACGATTACAGCCACACGCAGAAGTAAACCCCATCCCATATATCCAAATTATCGTAGCCTTCACAACACACTTACACAAGCTCATGTTCGTGGGGGCGCGGACCAAATTGGCCAATCGGACCTCTACTCCGCTCGGAGCTCGGAGTGACAAGGATACGTTTTGGGACGTGCATGAGTGCCGCACCTTGCGGACGGTTGCTTTGCCTAGTCAGTGGCGCTGATTACGGACCTCGGCCTTGTTACATTCATGCGCGTTTGAAAGTCTGTTGACAACAGCATGCCTGGCAGACGTCGAGATGCTCCGACTCCGCGACGGAATACTTTACTTCGGAATGAATGACCAATGATTTTTGCTTCTTATGTAGTTGATAGTCGGACTGTTCCTTGCTCAAGTTTCCCCTACAAAGAATATACAGTGGCCAACGCCACCAAGTCTGTTGTATTTTTTTCAGGGCGGGGCGTCCACTATGTACCAGGTGATGAAAATGAACAATGGAATGACTCATTGAGCAACGCTACCTATACCAGATTTCGGTACAAAATTTACGAGTAGAAGTAAACACTTTAGATATCTCCATGAAAAGGGCTAGTTAATACACCCCTTACTACCCTAATGCTACTTTACTCTTGATCTAAACAATAACAACTTTGGAAGCCCCGGACTTGAAACCAAGTCTTTATGTAACTTGCGTGTTGCCCAATCGGTTGAACACCAATGGCTCCTCTGCTTGTCTGGGTGTATTTTCTGATTCGATAGAAGTGCGAGCCTGTGAAGTAGTTGAAACATTAAGATTCGTTGTCATAACACTTTTCTTATTGCAACACAAGACGTCAAATAGCCTTGGGGCTAGTCAGGGCATGCAGACATGGATTTTTGTAATCAATACTTTGTATTCAAATGTGCAGTCTTGGATATATAGAACAGATACTTTGTATAGCCCAATTTAAACACCGATGTAACAATATTTAGTTGGATCTTGCATCGTGTTCATTTCTGACTTTCCAGTCTACTATCGTAGTTAAGAACAGCGCCTAATAACACTTGGGCGCCATTGCCGCTTGACTTATGGTTAGTCGCTTTAGTATAATAATGATATAGACATCAGAACTTACCAGTCCCGTTCGCTGGTGAATTCCGCCGGTGCATGGCTGATGCCATCTCTACTCGGTACGAAAATCATCGAAGTCGGCACCGCCATTGCTGTTAATGCACTGTCGTGGCCGGCAAAGCTCACCATCTCCATGAGCTGGCCCGCTCCGATAGCATCGCCTGCCGCGTCTTGGGTGCATTTGATGGCAGCAGGATCAAGATCGACCGCGGGACTGTGCCAAGTGCGCTCAATCTGAAAGTCAAGCCCGCTATTCTCAGCTTTAAGTAAGTTTGCCATGGCATCGATCGCAGACTCAAATTTCTCCAGGGTTGCCTCTGACAGGTGGCGAATGTCCATTGTAAAGCTGGCCCAGCCAGGTACTGTATTCAATGATGGGCGTTCCAGATTGAGTACCCCCACTGTTGCGACTGCGGAGGTGATAAGGGCTTGCCTGTCGAGGAATGAAATAAATTTTGCTGTCGCAACCAAGGCATCTGCGCGCTCCTGCATCGGAGTTGCTCCGGCATGGTCACGACGGCCCAAGACTTGAACTCGATACCACCGAATGCCCTGGATCTTTGTCACAATGCCGATTCTCCTTTGTGAATCTTGTAGCTTTCGATTTTGCTCTATGTGAAGCTCAAAATGGGCTGAGAGCGGATTTTCTTTGTGGCTAGCCTTCGTCTCCCCAAGATAACCAATAGATGAGAGCGATTCCTTCATGGTTGTTGTATTTGAAGTATCTGGCATGGCATGAGCAATCTCTAGCGGTATATGAGAAGCCCAAACTGCGGAACCAGTGCAACCTGGAGTAAATCGTACCCCTTCCCTTTTATCCAAATTAGCCAGGTGCATAAAATTTAGAGATGGAAATTAGACTCACTCATTTGTCCAATTGATGACAGCTACTGGAGCATAGGTCTGAATATCGTTCTCATTCATTGTTCTCAAGACCTCCAATCCAGCCAACACTCCAAGTATACCGTCAAACCGGCCACCTTTTGCAGCGTTAGAGTTACTGATACTTCGTGGCAAAGACAGAACTGACCAGCAGGTTGTGTGTCGAGATGACTCCCCATTCCGATCGGCGGTATGGCATTGTTTCGTCCTGGTCGAATGGCAAATATATTGCCCATCTCATCAGTTCGTACCTGGCAGCCCAGCAATCTAGCCTCAGTGCAAAGATAGTCCCGAACAAGCTTATCATCCACGCTCAATGATAGCCTGTTCATGCCCTGCTTCAATGACAATAACCCAAAACAGGAAGTCTTGTGTATTTCCTCCCAGAGTCGTCTTTGGTTGATTTGATACAAGGCACCCTGTGTGGCTGTGTGTGACTGCCAATCATGAGATTGTATACCTTCTATTTGGCGATTCGTTACACTTTCGTTAGACTCTTTCTTGCAGTTGTTGGTCAAGGGAACTCGGTTCCTCTGGCCGTCCTCTTGGCCAAGTTGGAGATCCAAGCAGGGGTCCTGCAAGAACTGTTGCCGCAGTTGATTGAACATTTTCACGTCAGCCACCGAAAGCACACCAGATGTATCGCCGTTCGCAATCTGCTCCAGGCATGGCTCGTGAGCGGAAACTTTGTACATGTTTGGGTCTTGAGGTGTTTGGGTTTATTGCTAAAATAAAATAAGATCAATGTGAAGATGTATCGCTGAAGCATGATAAAGGAAATAAGTTGTTCTTATAGTGATACGAACGATTTGAGTATGGGCAATTGCTAGAGTGGCTGGCATTCCTTTTCCAGAGCCCTACTCCGAGCTCCGAAAGCGTTCGTGCAATGTAGGCAAACCCGCAGCTGTGAACGGACACCCACCGGACTACCACCAGGATATCCAATATAGACGACAAGATCATGGGATCCTTGAGGGTTATAGGTTGATACCATCGACGCAAGCTGCTGGAATCCCCACGAGTTCCGGGTAGGGCGATTTTGGAGACATGCAATCCATCTGCTCCTCACAGCAAATCGCCAAGTAAACTTTCCAGACGTGTATGCGCTTCAACATACTCTCTTACTCTTTCAGCTCCGCATTTAGAATGGCAGATTGTTATTTCCAGGTTTTGGCGAGGCTCCTAGCTGTTGCGCAGAATTAGTCACTTCTAACAACAGAGAGAACATGCTTTATCCGACAATCCCCAATTTAATTAAGCGCTTGCTACGAGCAGATACTAGAATACAGTTATAAAAGCCACTGGACGCAACTATACCAGGCCATCCCCTTTATAATATGCGGGTACCTCTCAAAGCATGACAAGCTGCCGTATGTAGACCTCCAAATTCCGCTGTGTCGTAGAACCGGGGCAGGGAGTTTAGCCGTTCAATTCCAGATTTCGCTGGGGGAACAGGGTACCTCTCCGTCACGTAATTCCCTGAAAATAGGCCAACCTCGAATCCTAGTGGTCCATCCCCAACTGTTGACCTTTGGCAGGCGTCTACAAGCTCTGGTAGCGGCAAATAGACCAGCCCGTCAGCGCCAAGATTGGCACAGACTTCTTCATCGGTGCGCTTGTGAGCGACCAGCTTCTCTTCGTCCGCGAGGTCAATTCCGTAGATGTGTTTAAATCTAAGATAGTTGGCTAATGAGTCTCACAATGGGAGAGATGTTTAGCATACCTAATGGCTGGTGAAAGGCTGGCCAAGTAAACCTTGCGAGCCCCCGCCTTTCTTGCCATGGCCACGATTTCTCGGGACGTAGTGCCTCGGACAATGCTATCGTCTATGATAAGCACGTTCCTGCCCTGAAATTCGGCATTGACGGTGCTCAATTTGCGCCGCACTCCTCGAAGTCGCTGCTCTTGATTGGGCATGATGAAAGTTCTGCAAGAGTGTTGATTGCGAACGAAACCGAGGCTGACAGGTTTGCCAAGAGCTCTTGCCGACTCTAGAGCACCAATATAGCCACCGTCTGGCACGGGGATGATGCAGTCAATTGTCTTGACAACCGGTCCCAGCTTGTCCTTCACAGCTCGAGCCAGTGCCTCGCCCATTTGCCTGCGGCTATCGTAGACACTAACGCCATCAATTACGCTGTCGGCCCGGGCCAGGTAAACATATTCAAAGATGTCCGGAGCGTATGACCGAGGAGCGACTACTTGATGAAAATTCGGTTGATGGTTGCCTCGCCATGAAGACGGAATTAGAACCATTTGCCCTGGGAGTGTCAGCTATTGGCCGCAAGGGGCGTACTCTGGTACCAACCAGGTTTGATGTCTTGGAAATTTTCAAATCCGAGCTTTTGCAAGACAACACTCTCACTTGCGATCGCGAAGTCTGAACCAGAGGACCCCTGCCCGCGCTCGCCAAAAACAAGCGGCTTGATCCCGTAAGGATCTCGAAAAGCGACTACCCCGAACGAAGGGATCATGCAGATGCACGCAAAAGATCCCTGGCAGCGCTTATACACCTCTGAAACTGCTGAAATTATTTGATTCGGAGAGGCTTTGGATTCATGTCCGACCCGTAGAGCTGAGGTGAGCACCAAATACATTAACTCTGTGTCGCCAACGTTGTCTCGTGGTTCAAGCCCGTCTCTGCGAAGCTCTGCTTTCAACTGCTGAGGGTTGGTCAAGTGCCCATTCTGCTTTAGTTAGCGAGCATCCAGTTGTGTCGCCCATGAGGTTGCAGCGCAAAGTACATACGTGACTGAGACTAGTCCTGTGGTAGCCATCCAAAATGATGGGCTGGATTTGTGAATCCGCGTGGTTGTCATTCGTGGGATAGCGCACTGTATCTACTATTAGGCCTGAATATGGTTATAATCATTACCAACGGTTTTACTGACCGTGCCCAATGCCTTCGCTGCCACGTAGCCTGAACAACGAATCCACATGCATCTTGACCTCGATGCTGAAGTAAAATGGACCCTTCGACCAACTCGCCAGCCACATCTTTCTTTGGGTCCGCGTAACTGAGACCGATGACACCACACATTGCTATAAACTTGATGCCGACAAAAGTCAAGAGGTGGGAAAATAATGATGTTACATAAGCTACGGAGACCATTAATATCTATCTACCTCTCTCTCATATATAAGTATATTTATATATCTCTATTTGAACCATATGTGAGGGGAGGCTAGGTGAAATTTGGTGTGCGCCCTTGTGCGCTCCGGCTGCATGCACGAGCTCCGAGGCGCATCGGACTACTCCGCATTAATTAATTGGTTACCAGCGCCGGGCTCCGGCATGGGTACATGTATCTGGAAGCAGGTCGGACTACTGCTAATGTTGCTCCGATGCGGTTATTACACCTCTGCAATTCCTCACTGCCGCCTCAGTCCGTGTACAGCACATATAAACATCTACGTCTCGGACAATACTGCAGTCACAGAAATCATCAAATAATGGCCCAACAGTGGTTTTTTGAGCCGAACTCCGATGCTATCTGGCTCTTTAACTTGCAGCGTCGCACCTGTGTACAAAGCTTTAAACTGCCGCTATACTCCTGAGCGAACTCAATAATCACACAATCAAATCAGCATCCACGTCGAAGAAATTTCTCCGTACATTCCTAATTGAGTGTACTCTCAGTTACGTCTTTGCCAAAATGCACCTCGCCGAAGAGCAGCCGTTGTTGGTGCAATTCAGCCCACTAGCACTTGAGCGATTCTCGGAAACCTCGACCACTCCTGCCACGGAAACGGAGCGCATCATTCATAGCCTCGTCGCAGATGTCATTGGTATTGAAGAGTCTGCATTTGGTGTTGAGGATGACATATTCCGGCTTGGCGCTAACTCCATCACTGCGATGAGCCTTGCCTCTATTGCGAGGACAAAAGGCCTCCGTATAACAGTGCCGCAGATTCTGCAGAATCCCACAGTCCAACAGATGGCCAGTTTGATCCAAAACTCCTCGCAGGGTAAAATCAGCCTTCACGGGCAACCGACGGGGCCACTCAGCCTCTCGCCCAAACCGGGATGCACCCAAGCTTTGCGGCAGCTTGTATCAAGGAAATGCCACATCGACGAGTCATTGGTTGAAGCCGCGTATCCGTGCACGTCTCTTCAAGCGAGTCTTTTCTTACGGTCATTACAAGATGCAGGCTCGTACATGATCCGATACGAGTGGGCCATTCCTGGGCATCTGGACCTCCACAAATTTAGAGAAGCGTGGGACCTTGTCTTTCATAAAAACGACATACTCCGAACACGATTCGTCGAAGATGATGATTCGACCATATGGCAAGCTGTCATTCGTGAGAAGCTCCAATGGCGAATTATAACAAACGAAAGTCAGATTAAGGACAATTTTGGCACGGGCTTTGGCAAACCGTTACTACGCCTTGGGCTGTTCCAAGGCCACGGCACTGAACAAACGTCAAGGTTTATTTTTGAGGCCCATCACTCAATTATGGATGCCTGGAGCTGCGACTTGGTACTCGACACATTTTCAAAGGCTTACAACATCCAGTCAGCTTCCAACCAACTGCCAAATAGTCCTCAATTTGGCTCTTTTGTTAATTATATTCAAAGCATTGACAAAAAAGAGTCCGAATGTTTCTGGAAGGAACAGTATAGTGATTTCAGAGGGCATAGGCTTCCGCTCCCGTCATCCGCATTGGCGGGACCGAGAGACTCTCTAAAGGCCCGGATGCTCTACAAGTCTTCAGAAACTTCGCAATTCACAGTCTCAGAATACCTGAGAGGAGCATGGGCGATTGTTATTTCGTCCTTCTCGGAAGAGGCCGACATTGTTCTTGGTATTGTTGAAAGCGGCCGAGACATCTCTCTATCTGGTATTGAGAATCTTGTAGGACCAACAATTGCGACTCTGCCCGTGCGGATCCAGGTTCTTCCCACAGAGCAAATCATCGACTTCATGCAGAAACTACGCCACCAGCGCGCGCAAATGGTGCATCATCAGCACTTTGGGTTACAAAACATAGCCTCCGTATCCGTTGAAGCAGGTAGAGGCTGTGAGTTCCAAAACCTGCTTGTCATTCAGGCGCCGGTACAGCGGAGAAAGAATGCAGTGCTGCGCGTCGAGGACGCGGCGATTGGTGTGGCAATGACAGAATACCCCATTGTTTTGGAGTGTTTCCCCGAGGAGGGCGCCGTAAGCTTTGTTCTTGATTACGACGCTTCGGTGATGGCAACTACAGACGCTCAAAAGCTGCTGGCGGGAATCAGGACGGCTTTCCAGCAACTACGCGAAGGATCAACCGAGCGCATATTGGGAGACCTGACACCTACCATATCTACCAACAAGCCGAAGCTCGAGCTATGGAATTCGAATTTACCCCGAAATATTAAGGAGAAAATCCATCACCTGATCTCCGATCAAGCGCGAAATGAACCCTTGGCTCCAGCCATGATGTCCTGGGACGGGGAGATGAATTTCCGTCAGCTTGACCATATTTCCACTCAATTGGGGGAATACCTTAATTGTCTGGGATATGGGGCTAAATCTATCATTCCTGTCTGCTTCGAAAAGTCGATGTGGTATATCATCGCTGTTCTAGGGACGCTGAAGGCTGGCGCCGCGTTTCTACCCTTGGACCCATCCCAGCCTATTGGACGTCTGCATGAGATAGTCGGCCAAGTACAAGCCGACGTTTGTTTGGTCTCTAAAGAAACCGGCTCGCTCTTCCCAGCCCCACAGTTTAAAACTATCCCGGTTTCTCAGGATGGCTGGCCGCGCAATGCCAACGATGGCCTTTACTTGTCGAAGGCAGATATTACAGGCGATCCAGAAGTTCCAAGGGATCCATCCAACCTGGCGTACATAATATTTACCTCTGGAAGTACGGGAAAGCCGAAAGGCGTAATGATTGAACACGACTCGTTCTGCTCTGGAGCTTGTGTGCGAGCAGAGCTGATACATCGAAACAAAGACTCGCGAGTCTTTAGCTTCTCGTCATACAGCTTTGATACGAGTATTGAAGACGTACTGACGACTTTGATCGTTGGTGGTTGTGTCTGTATTCCTTCTGAGTATGAGTCCAAAAATGAATTGGCCGAAGCCATCCGGCGTTATCGTGCCAATACTCTCGATACGACACCATCGGCAGTTGCTGCAATATCTCCAGAGGATACGCCAGGACTCACAACAATAATCCTAGGAGGGGAGGCAATGACTGCCGATAATGTGGCCAAATGGGCATCTCGAGTGACTCTGATCAACACCTACGGGCCAAGCGAATGTTCTATCGTCAGTACAGTGGCTCCCCCGGCAGCGGTGGATACGGATCCATCTAACATTGGCCGCGGCATCGGCTGTATTACTTGGATTGTGGATGAGAATGACCATGAAAGACTCATGCCTATTGGCGAAGTAGGAGAGCTCCTCATAGAGGGGCCAATTGTTGGGCGCGGCTACCACGGGGACGCAAGCCACGAAGCCTTCCTTTGCAATACGAAATGGCGTTCGACCTTCAATTTGAAACCGAGCTGGAGGTTTTATAAGACTGGCGACCTCGCCCGATATGCAACTGACGGATCTATTGTGTTTGTGGGAAGAAAAGACAGCCAATGCAAAATCCGGGGCCAGCGCGTCGAAGTTGCCGAGATTGAATATAGGTTGCGAGATGGCGTTGCGCACGAGCAGGTAGCAGTCGAGTGCATTCCCATTCCAGGACTGGGGCCTACGATTGTCGGGTTTCTAGGAGATAAAGCAAAGGATGAAAGCAGTGACGCTGTACTTCACACGGCAGGTTCACTGCCCCCAGCGTTGAGCAGCATCCAGTCTCATCTTTTGACTCATCTACCTACATATATGGTTCCCTCATTTTACGTTGAGGTTGGACATTTCCCCATGCAAATATCTGGAAAGCTTGGTCGCGGAGCGCTAAGGAGCATTTTCATGAAGCTTTACAAAACGCAATGTAGCACTCGCAATGCAGTAGCTGCAGCAGAAAGTGCGAAACAGCCTCAGCATTTCATTGGGATAGCCCTTCAAACTCTCTGGGCCCGGCAACTGGGCATCAGGGCGACCAGCATAGGTCTCCATGATACATTCTTCGCCCTTGGTGGGAACTCTCTCAAAGCCATGCAACTTGTCACCCAATGCAGGAAAGCCGGCCTTTCTTTAACGGTAGAGGATATTTTCAAGGGTCCAAGTCTTGAAAAAATGACTGCCTCAGTTCTCTCCCGTACCAGTGCTACTACGATGCCCGTCTCTGATGGTCAAAATAACGCAAAACTCTCACGACTCCGTGACACTCTTCCCACGGTCGACAACGTGACCATTCAAGAAGTTTGCGCGGCCTGTGGGATAACAGCCAACCTCATACAATATGTATATCCGTGCTCGCCGTTGCAAGAATCATTCATGCGGGGAAGCCTGCATCAGCCAGGGTCATACATCGCCACTCATATCTTCAAGATTGTTGATGACGCAGATCCACACAAGTTGGTTGAAGCATGGTCTACAATAGCCAAGGATAGTTGCATCCTCCGAACAAGATTGGTACAGACTGAGTCTGCAGGTCTAGTGCAGGTCGTTCTTCACGAGAAATTGGTATGGAAAAAAGCAGCAACACTTGACGAATGCCGCCGCAACTCTGAGCCCATGGCTATACAATCTGGCTCTCCTCTGTCCCAGCTGTACTTGGTGGAGGGTGAAGAGTCCTACTTGGCCTGGACTGCACATCATGCCATCTATGATGCTTGGATGCTGGATCAACTAACTGAAGCTCTTCGGGCGGCATATACTGGCACCTGGGTCCGCCCAAAAGCTGAGTATCGCGATTACATCCGCTACATCAAGACATTGGATTCTGACGCGACTCGCCAATTTTGGAAGACTCAGCTGGCATCACCGTCTTCCGCTGGTCGTTTCGTCAAACAAGACCAACGACGCCATACTCTACGAATGGAACGCTCACTCGAACAGACTGTCCAAGTTACATTTCCCAATACGTCCAACCTTGCATTCTCAACATATATTCGCGCGGCCTGGGCATTGACGGTCTCGGAGTATGGAGAATCCGAAGACGTGATATTTGGGATAGTTTTGGCCGGACGCGCAATACAACTCGCAGATGTGGACACAATCATGGCCCCAACAATTGCCACTGCACCCTTGAGAATTCAGCTTGACAGGAAATCTACGATCACTAATTTTCTTCAGCTTGTGCAGAACCAAAGTGCCTCAGTCATGCCGCACGAGCAGTTTGGTGTTCAAAACATCAAAGAGTTAAACCAAGACTGTTGGGAAGCTTGTGATTTTGAATCGCTATTAGACATACATCCCATGGTTGATCATGTGCAGCCCAACACAATCATTGAACTTGAAAGCTCTCGAAATGACTCTCAATCATTTCACACTCACCCTCTAGTGCTGACATGCCGTCCGAATCAAAAGAGTCTCGACTTGGAATGCGTTTTTGACGAGAGTATGGTTGATCAAACGCAAGCTTTGCAAATGGTGCATCACTTTGCCCATATGCTGCGACAGCTCGTCCATATAGACGGGCTTCAGTCTTTGACTCAATTAGACACTGAAGGTACATTGGCAGACCTGGAGCGTATTTCTCCTTTCGACAAAGCACTGCTTCATCAGTGGAATTCCACCGAATACTGCGCTGTCCAAAATTTCGTCCATGAGAAGGTGCGAGCACAGGTGATGTTGGACGCCAAGCGTCCGGCAATCGAGGCCTGGGATGGAAATTTCACGTACGGGGAGCTTGATATTGTATCATCAAGATTGGCTGTTTACCTGCAAGACATTGGAGTCGGTGACAAGCCCATCATACCACTCTGCTTCAGTAAATCGGCATGGGCCGTTGTTGCGATGCTTGCAGTCCTCAAAATCGGAGGAGCTTACGCCGCTCTCGATCCATCACACCCTTCAGAGAGGCTTAGAATGATGGTTAACCATACAAAAGCGACACTTGTGCTGGCAGGAAAAGAACACGCGGCAATGTTTGACGGCCAGGTCGAGCATGTCGTGGTTCTGCATGATTTGCTCTTGGCAGAACTCCCTCAACCTCCGATCAAGTTGGAGCTCAAGGCGCCTCTCGACCCTCAGGACGCAGCGCTGATTGTATTTACTTCTGGCTCTACCGGTGTCCCCAAAGGAGTCGTTCTACAACATGACGCGTTCTGCACACTCGCCGACGGAATGGCTGCAGAAATGAACTTTAGCGCAGATAGTCGAGTCCTACAGTTCGCCGCATATGCATTCGACGTCAGTAGCAGCGAAATATTTTTGACACTGATTCATGGCGGATGCTGTTGCATTCCTTCCGACGCAGACCGTCTGAGTAATCTCGCCGGTGTCATCGCAGACTTCAGGATCAACTGGCTCTATCTTACGCCAACAGTTGCGAACCTTGTCTTGCCTGAAGATGTCGAGAACGTCAAAACTCTTGTTCTTGGGGGCGAGGCTGCCAGGCAGGAGCTTATTGACAAGTTTGCTAATCGTACTTGCCTGATTAACAGTTACGGGCCTGCCGAAGGTACTATCTGGCCATCAATGGCCAAGTTCAGCGCAAGCTCATCACCCTCAGATATTGGGTCCGGAACACGGTGCCACATGTGGCTGGTGGACCCAAATAATCATGACCAGCTTGTCCCGATTGGCGTACCGGGTGAGATACTGCTGGAGGGCCCCATGGTTGCCCGCGGGTATCTCTTTGATGAAGCCAAGACGAAGGCAGTTTTTATTGACCCGCCAAATTGGGCTACGCCCCGACGAGATGGACTCCGACGCAGGTTTTACAAGGTTGGAGATATGGCTCGACAGAAAGCTGACGGGACTCTGAGCTTCTTGGGCCGAAAAGACACGCAAGTCAAGCTACGAGGTCAACGGATAGAGCTCGGCGAGATTGAATTCCGCATTGCCAAAAACTCTCAAACCATCAAGGCTGCCGCGGTCGAGGTTGCTAATCTGAACAGGCAATCGCAAGTCCTGGTAGCTTTCGTCAGTTTCTCAGGCAATGTGGACATATGCTATGAGAACAATATTGGCGCGGTGACAACACCAATACGCAATGACTTACTAGCTTTGCAAGAGAGCCTATCAAAGCATCTGCCGCCATATATGATACCCTCGTTCTACATCCCACTCGAGCAATTACCAAAGACATTATCCCAAAAACTAGATAGGCGCGCTCTCAGGACTTTGTTCGAGAACATTCCGCGATCGAACCTGAAAGAGTATTCGCTTTCACTTCATTCGACAAGAAAAGCATCTTCGCCTCTAGAACGACAGGTCCAGTCACTTTGGGCTAGGATACTGAATATTAAGCCCCAAGATATTGGTATGCATGATAGTCCTGTAAGACTGGGTGCTAACTCCTTGACGGCAATCCAAGCTTCCACACTGGCCAGAAAAGAGGGCTTGAACATGCCGGTGACCGCAATCCTTCGTGCAAAGAGCTTAGCTGAAATATGCGATGCTACTTCGCCGATTAGACATCTGGAAGAACAGCCATTGGAAGCATTTGGCCTCCTCAAAAAAGGAGACAAGTCAGACTTCAAAATACTCATGGCCGAGATTGAAGACCAATGCAATGTCGATCAGGCCCAAATCGAGGATGCATACCCCTGCACACCTCTCCAGGAAGGAATGATTTTGCACTCGGAGAACCGGCCAGGCTCCTACGTTGCACAGCGAATATTCCGACTTGACCCAGCAATTGACGTTGCAAGGTTCAGAAGCGCTTGGTGCAATGTTGCAAAGGGTTGTGACATTCTCCGGACTCGTATAGTCTCATCGGAGGCGTGGGGCCTAGTGCAGACGGTATTGGACGAGACAATTGTTTGGGCCGAAACACAAGATCTCCAGACTTACCTTCATAAGGATCAAAACTTGGCTTTTGACTTTGGAGCTCCGCTTATGCGATTTTGTATTGCCGAAGGGTGTGATAATGCGGTTCGCCTATTCATTTGGACAACCCATCACGCTGCGTACGATGGCTGGACGATAAATCTCCTCTTGCGCCTGGTAGACCAACAATACCACGAGGGCTCCATCCCATCGCCGCCTCGATTTGCCGTGTTTATGCAAAGCATTCTTTCCGCTAAACAATCTGAGTCAACAACATTTTGGGCACAGCTGCTGAACGGTTTTGTATCTCCAGGTTCCAAGTTGGTTAAACCCTCAGTTGACAAGAGCCCGCTGTCGAAGACTGTGAAGCACTCTATTCAGGACTTCGGTATAGGTCGTTGTCCAGTCACTGGGCCTTCGTTGATTCGAGCTGCCTGGGGTCTTCTGCTTGGAAGTTATTACGACTCACGAGACGTTACGTTTGGAACCGTCACCAACGGTCGCAGCACTGCAGTCCTTGGAATTATGGACTTGTGTGGCCCTACAATGTCCATCATCCCAACGAGGGTTAAAATTGATGATGAAATGAACCTACATTCCTTCCTTGTCAGGATTCAGAACCAAGGCCTTGAGGCAATACCGTTTGCGCAGTATGGCATGCAGTATATTCAAAGGATCGATCCCAGCACACGAGCTGCATGCCAATTCGAGACTCTGCTCGACATTGACATTCAGAACGACAAAGACATTCCAGATCTCTTCGGCTCCGAAGAACGCTCAAGGACTGTGGAGGCTTTCCACACTTATGCCATTGTCTTGGGCGCCAGAATCACCAGTGACAGGCTCGAGTTTGAAATGGAATTCGATTCTCGCCGGATCTCGGAAAGTCACATACACGGCATCCTGAGGCATCTGGAACGGATAATCCAACAGCTAAAAAATAGCTCAGACATGTCAAGTGTTGGTGCTCTGAGGGCAACTCTGGAAGGCGAAAAGGGAATCTCGGACACGAACTTGACAAAGAGTGTCGCTTCCCTCCCACCCCAGCAGGAAGTGGCTCTAAGTAGCCTGGGTGAAACTACGACGGGACGTCAAGGCCCCTTAGAAACCAAGTTACATGCACTCATTTCCATGGTATTACAGGTAGATCCAGCCGAAATTGGAATACACGATCATTTTATAGCAATGGGGGGCGATTCAATAAGCGCCATGCACCTTGCCTCTTTGGCACGTCGCAGCGATATTCCCTTGACGGCGTCTGATGTGTTTCGCCACCCAACGATATACGGCATGGCTCAGCATTGCTCAAAGTCAATGACAGACTCAATAGTTGAAACTGCGCAGAGCCAAGCCCCGACAGCACGATCACAGGATGACGCAGTTCGAAGACACGTCTCAACAAGTTTACAGATACCTATGAGTGACGTCCAAGATATCGTTCCAGCAACGGATTTTCAAGCCTGGGCCGTCGCAGGCGACCTAATGAAAAGCCGAGGATGGAGTAACTACGTCATAATAACCTTTTCTTCTCCTCTCGATAAAGAAAGACTCCTCACGGCGTTCAAGACTGTGATTGAACGCAATGCGATTCTGCGAACCGCATTTGTAGCGTTCGGTTCACAAATTCTCCAAGTTGTGCGAAGGAAGCCGTATCTAAAGCATGAGCACCTGCGCCGGAATACCAGTTTCCAACAAGAGATCCATGCTTGGGTCGACTCCATGATTGCCAATGGTCAAGATTCAGCCATCAGCAAGGGCAGTGTACGCATGATAACCACTGGTCCTACCAGCGAGAGCGTCTGCGCGCTTGCAATGACCCTTTCTCACGCACAATCTGACGCAACGTCTTTATCACACATCGGGTCTGACCTATCTGACGCCTTTGACGGTCGTGTACTGCCGACTCGTCCAAGCTTTTCCATCTTTGCAGCAAGGGCAACCAGCATAGAGCAGCAAAAAGAAGCCGAATGTTTTTGGCGAACAGAGCTTCATCGCGCACGCATGACGAAGGTAACGCAACTCTCACCTCCTAGTCATTCATATCAATATCCTGTCGCCAAGACTTATACACGAACAATCCCGACTCCAGAACGCCGAAAGCATACTTTTGCAACTGCGTTGAAAGCAGCCTGGGCTCTTACACTGGCCAAGCATACCAAGCAGAGCGATATCGTGTTTGGCCATCTAGTGTCTGGTAGAACGCTTCCCATCTCGGGAGTGGAGGACATAGTTGGGCCGTGTCTTAACATCGTTCCTGTGAGAATACGGATTCCCCCTAGAGTGACAACTGAGAGTCTCCTAGACGCAATCCAAGACCGCTATCTTGCCTCGATGCCTCACGAAACGCTCGGTTTTAATCGTATTGTGGAAGCTTGCACAGCGTGGCCGCGGTCCACACGATACAGCTCGATCTTGCAGCATCAGAATATTGCCGACGTTCCCTCATTAGAATTTAATAATGGGAAGACACAAGCTGATGTGGACCTTCGATGCCCTTCACATGATTCTACGGATATATGGGTTATCTCTATTCCCAAGGGCAATACGATTGAAGTCACTCTTAGTTGCAACGATAACCTTGTCCCGCCATATGAAGCTCAGACTCTCCTTGGAAGTCTTGTTCAGGCAATAGCCATGTTTATGTCCGATGATGCTTGCACGGTAGTGGCCCAAGATGAAATCGAATGGGAACGTGATGGAACGCGCAGATTGCCTCGAGAGGGTGATAAATTGCAGATGGTCGACGGCGGTGGAGTCAGTTTGGGTGGACAGAAGCACAGCTTACTACACAAGGTGCGAGAAATTTGGCAAAACGTCTTATTCACTAGCCCTGAAGAGGTCGAGTATATCTCTCCAACAACACCATATTACAAAGTACGCGGCGGCCATGCAGCTACAGTGTTATTGCTAGCACAGTACAAAGCTCAAATTGCCCCACACATCACAATGGAAGAGGTCATCGACCATCCAACTCTGGAAGACCACGTGCAACTCCTTCTTGCAAAGCAAAACACAAAAAGAGTTGGGTCGAGGAATAGCTAAATGGGCTGAGTTGACGCGATTTACGACGAATTGGTCCTGTTAAGAGTCAACTTGCTGTCTCACCGCCATCAGTCTTAAATACGCCAGGGGTTGTCCTGCAGCGGAATGCGTAAGGTGTTCTTTTCACGTTTTATCACTTTATAGATACAAAAGTTTTTATAGTAAGCTACCTATATACAAAGCTTTATTTTTGTCCTGAAGCTTACCGTCTCATCAGCATCAGTAGTAGTAATCGTCAAGGTCTCCGAAAAAGTTTGTAGGAGGTTTTAGCATCTCCAGCCACGGTTCTCCCTGGAAGTCAACAGTATCCAACCATGCTGCCCACTGCACATCTTGAGTGATAGTTTCCGGGTTTTGAACCCCAGCAGGCTCTGCCGGTAACGCATCGTACATGTCCACCGTTGGACTGTCCGGCAGTGAACGTGTCAAAGGCATCTCGTGATTGAGGATCTGGTCCAGAGCTTTTGAGAAGATCAACTGAGCCTGTTTGCAGAGCTCATAATTGCCCTTTCCCGACTCAGTTAGCCAGTCGCAGCAAGATATGAGAACGCTGATGTCCTGAATAATGGTCGACCTGTTCGAAGCGACGGATGGCTGTGGTTTTGGCAGGCTAGCTAGTCGAAACAATTCCAGAATCAAGACACTCGCGCATGGCATCGCGTAAAATACTATCTGCAGCGGGTCAGTTCTTACCAGCGATGAAAGCTGAGAGCTACTTACCGTCCATTCCAAATCGATTCTATGGGAGCCTATGAGATCTCTCTTCTTCATTACTGAGAGCACGAGCCCTAGGGTCTCGTGGGAAATTTGAATCAATGCATGACGATAGCCACTGCTTTGATTCACTAGCATCTTGTATAGAAGAAATCTGCTATACAGATACTCAAGCTTTAGGCTCAGAAGCATTATAATCGTCGAAGGCGCCATGCGGCCCCATAGGGATGGTTCATACTGCATGAAGTGAGGCATAGTCTCCCAGATCGACGACGCCCGAGTTAAAATTTCCCTGAATAAACATGTCAGTCAGTCAGTCAATCAGTCATTCAAAAAAAAAAAAAAAAGAGGAGATTTGTCGTTGGTTAATTGCTTACTGGGCTTCATGAACGAGATCTTGAGTTATGGTACCCAGTGACAACTCAAGAACTTCTTCACGGATCGAGCTTAGCCAAACAATCGCTCGCTGGCGAGACGCTGGATATACAGTCATGTCTTTATTCCAACCATTGCCATCAAGCCGCGATATTTGCAGCTCTAACAGTTCGGCAGACCCGATAATGGCCGAGTCTGAGAGGTCAAGGGGCAATTCTATGGTACAATAGTTCCTATTCAAGCGTGGCGGTCGACCGACAAACGTCGCCAGGGACTTGTCTAGCTCATGAGATAGGGCAATGGCTCGTTTTCGAAGCTCGACCAAGTATGTTGGGGTATTCATGTCTTCTTGAAAGCCGTTGTGGTAATTGAGGGCGAATATGGCGGATGATAAATTTCCCATTAGACGCCAGGCCTGACAAGAGTCATCACCAAAACACCAGGTGGAGAGTGTCGTGGCCAGGACGGCAAGCCATACAGATAGGTCGTTCGTTTGGCCCACGCGGTTGCACAGAGCCTCGCATCGTAGACAGGCGTCAAAGGCATCGATGGACGTTGCCTTACGGTCGCCAAACCGCTGGCGACCCGAGAAGCTGGTGCTGAGATTTTTGGCCGATGCAAGAACCATCCCTATGAGCGCGAAATATATCCCAACAGTTTCCCACCGGATAGCACAAAGCTCTTTTTCAAGAGCACCGTCTGCGGCTGTCGTGGGCATGTTGAGTGGTCGAGCAGTATGGTCAAAAATATCTCGAGAAGTAGCCTGGAGGCGATTCAGTAATCGACTAGCATGAAGGTTCTGCAAATTGCTCTGGATCGCGCGCCAAGCCGCCTTGGCTAGAGGACCACCAACTGGGCTGTCTCCGAGATCTGTATACCAGTTGTGGACTAATTCTTCGAGATCTGGGTGAGAATAGTGGTCAAGGAGCAGTTGCAGTAAGTTCTCACCCTCCCTTACGAGAGAAGAATTCGCGTGGAATGGTTGCTGCAGATGAGAAACTCCAGTGCGAGTTAGTGACGTATATTGACGCGAGGATGTCGTTTGATCAGCCTCTGTTGGTGACAAACCAGAAGCTTGCATGGTAATCAAGCCAGTAGCCAGATCAAACGCAGCAGGAATTGACGAGGCCGAAGAAGACGGCAGGGATGAGGATGAACTCGACGACAATACTGTCAAGCTTGATGCCTCTGTCAAGGCCTCGAGCGGCCGCTGGGTAACATCAGCTGGAGCCCTAGAGAGGCCCGACTAACGTGTAAGTTCTCAATCGCGGGAAATTCGATGCAATCAAAAACTAACATGACTTACAAAGCTGCCACTACGCGCGACTCGCTGCGCTGGCGTCGAGCCATTGGCGCAGGGTGATAGAAGCATTGCTCGGTGAGCCGGCGTCTGGCGCAGCGAGCACATCGAGGTCGACCGTGATCACAGCGCAGCTTTGATTTGCGGCAAGGCTCACACGACGACAGCTGCCCATTCCGACGGACAGTATCAGACATCTTGGCACGAAGCTTGGCGTGTCGCAGCGTTCACCTGTGGAGAGAATGTCCAAGATTGGACGCTTATTATTATTATACCAACAGAACGCTCCCCGGTTCACTGTTGGTGTTAGCTCGAATCGCAATCAGCGTGGCGACGGCCTGAGAGGCCTAGCTTCCCCGCCCGCGCACTCCTCACGGCAAACAAACATTTGTCGACTGCTGCACAATCCTAAGGCAGCCTCAAAGGGCAACATCTCCGCTCCTGTGGCAATATATCCGCTCCTTCGACAAAACCACCACCACTCCGCTTGTTTGTCTCCTATCTTTGCGGTTTGGGGGCC